GAGCTTAGGAGGTTGAGGCTGCAAGTCAATTATGATTGTGCTGCTGCACTCCAGCCTGGGCAACAGAGTGAGACTGTGGAAAAAAAAAAAAGAAAAAAGATAGAAAGGAAGGAAAGAAGAAAAGGAAGGAAGGAAGGAAGGGAAAGAAAGAAGGAAAGAAAGAGAGAGAGAGAAAGGAAGGAAGGAAGGAAGGAAGGAAGGAAGGAAGGAAGGAAGGAAGGAAGGAAGGAAGGAAGGAAGGAAGACTTACAGCCTCAGCTTCACCTCAGCCCAGGAAACTAAGGTTTAGCATGCACCTGCAATCTGCCGGTCTCACTCCAATGGGCAAAACCTCTCTTGCTTAATAAGAAGGCTGTTGCTGCCAAAGCAAGTGTAGATGGCATTGATGACCATCTCCAAGTAGCAACAATATTTTCTTTTCTTTTTTTTTTCTTTTTTGAGACGGAGTCTTGCTCTGTCACCCAGGCTGGAGTGCAATGGTGCAATCTCAGCTTACTGCAACCTCCGCCTCCCGGGTTCAAGCGATTCTCCTGCCTCAGCCTCCTGAGTATCTGGGATTAAAGGCATGTGCCATCACGGCCAGCTAATTTTTGTATTTTCAGTATAGACAGGGTTTCACCATATTGGCCAGGTTGGTCTCAAACTCCTGACCTCAGGTGATCCACCCACCTCAGCTTCCCAAAGTGTTAGGATTATAGTTGTGAGCCACTGCGCCCGGCCTGATATTTTCAATCAGAGATATATGACATTCTCCATCTCCCCCCGAACCCACCTGCAGTTGGAAGCCACTGGTTTTGATAAGCCCTGAGCACTTTCTAAAGCCCGTTGGCCCTCTAGAGCTCTGGGGCAGCCTGGGCAAAGTCCCACCTCCTCCTGTTCTGGGCATGGCGACTCACAGGCTTGGCTCCTAGAGCTACGACGCAGGAGGTGAAATGGAAGAGAGTTATTGGGAAAACGAAACATGGATTGAGGACTTTTCTCTGAAGCCCCAGCATCTTCTTCCAAAGTTGGGGTGCAGATGCTCAAAGGACCCCAATAAACAAATTCACAAGTCATTCTAGTAGCTCCTCGTACTAACCTAGAACTTGCCACCGGCCATGAGGGCTGTCCCAGGTGGTCGTCAGATGCTTCTAAGTGAGGGAGGTGATAGACGTTTATTGAGCACTTCGTTTGAATCCAGTGGCTCATGTGTTATTTCATTTACTCGCCCAAATATTCCTGAAGGTAGATAGCAGAGGTGTAGAGAGGTAAGTAATTCCGTGGCCATCACCCCACTCCAAGCTGCCATCTCTTTTGCCTGACACCACAGTGTGCTCCCAACCAGCCCCCAGGTTCCTCCCTCCAGGCCTTCCTCCACCAGCAAATGCTTCATCAAACCACACCCGTGCTTCTCAGTGATCTTTGGAGCAAAGTTAAAATCCTTGACATCAAGCCCTGCCCCAGCGGACTCTTGCTGTCCCTGGCTGGTTCCAGGCTCTAGCCCTTACTCACTCCAGCCACACTGATGACTCCCTGTTGGTCAAACAGAGCAGCACCGGCTTCTTTCCTCCTTCCGGAATTGTGTATGCAGCTGCCCTGCCTGGGGTGCCCCTCCACACAGATGTGCATGTCATCACACATGCACACAGATGTGCTTGCATGTGTACACACATCTCTGCCTCATGCTTGTTCTTAAGGTCTCAGCTGCATTGTCGCTTTCTCAGGGAGGCCTCCTGGCCAGCTCCTTCTTCTCTAGAGTCTAGGTTAGTTCTTCCTGTTATCCCTCTCACTGCACCCTGTACTCATTCTTAACATGTACTTTGCACAACTGTCGTTCTGTAGGTATCTGCCTATCTATCAGCTTTCACTGCCTCCCACTGGTATACAGGCTCTGGGAGGCGGGGCCTGAGTCTGGTTTATTCTCCACTCGTGGCCGGTGCCTGGCACAGGGCTGAGTGTAGGCAACGTTACCCGGACGGCAAGCTCCTGAGCTGGGTTCGGACTTCCTGCCTGGAAACGCCATGAAAACACTGCCTCTATCTACACTTCCCATCAGTGCTGCAGGCTCCCCCAGGACCTCAGCACACAGAGAGGCTGCCCGGGGGTCTCTGGATGCTGACCCTGGTAGGCCATCTGTAGTCCCAGCTACTCGGGAGGCTGAGGCAGGAGAATGGCGGGAACCCGGGAGGCGGAGCTTGCAGTGAGCTGAGATCCGGCCACAGCACTCCAGCCTGGGCGACAGAGCGAGACTCCGTCTCAAAAAAAAAAAAACAATTTTAATAGGCGGAGTACGGCGGCTCACGCCTGTAATCCCAGCACTTTGGGAGGCCGAGGCGGGTGGATCACTTGAGGTTAGAAGTTTGAGACCAGCCTGGCCAACATGGTGAAACCCCGTCTCTACTAATAATACAAAATTAGCCAGGCGTGGTGGCGGGCACCTGCAGTCCCAGCTACTTGAGAGGCTGAGGCAGGAGAATTGCTTGAACCTGGGAGGAGGAGGTTGCAGTGAGCTGAGATCACGCCATTGCACTCCAGCCTGAGCAACAAGAGGGAAACTGTCGCAAAATATATATATATGTATAAAATAATTTTTATATAATAATATATATGTATAATATGTATAATAATAATATATATATATATCATAAAGATGAGGTCTCCTTAGTTTGCCCAGGCTGGTCTTGAACTCCTGGGCTAAAGTGATCCTCCTTCCTTGGCCTCCCAAAGTACTGAGATTACATGTGTGAGCCACTGCGTCAGGCCAGCAGTCACCTTTGCCTCCTACAGATTCCCGGTGAGGCCAGCATGGGAGGTCAGTGAAGGTCATCGTGCGGGTTGGCAGCGTTGACACCGCACCCACTGAGCTCGTGCTGCCCTTTGCCAGGTGCCATCTGCGGGGCTCTCCTCTCCACTTCCACAGCCGCTCCTCAAATGCCTCTTCAAATGCTGTGCTTGCCCGGTGGCATTCTCTGCACCCACGAGGGACCTGCCGACTCCAGCAGGCGGCCTCCTTTTGCAGGCATGAGCCAAAGGCCAAAATTCCAGTTCAGCGAAAGAAGGTCCTCCTGCGTTCGAGCTCACGGTGCCAGTCTCTTACCAGGGCCTTCAGTGTGCTCAGGTTAGCGTGTGCAGAGCCCGTACTTTCTCTTGGGACACTCCACTTGGGTAGATTTTTCTCTAAATTGGTCCTCTCCACCGTGACTGCACTGTCCAAAATGCAGGATGCTGAGCAGGGTCCCTGTCTCTACCCACTCAATGCCAGGAGCACTCCCCTCACCGGTTGTCCCCAGACACTGACAGATGTCCTGCTGGGGGCAAAATCTTCCCCAGTAGAGAATCGCTGCTCTAAGTAGGGCACTCCCGAGGACAGCACTGGGTGTCTGTGTGTACCCGCACAATGAGGGGCCTGCTGGCCTCTCACGGCCCCCTCTCTCTGATGCTGGAATGACAGGGAGCGGAAATGGCCCAGCCCACTACTCTTACCAGGGTCCCGGGAGTGCAGTGTGCATGGTGTAAGCTGTAGGGCTGGGACTCTGGGCTGAAGTCTCAGCTCTGCCACCCACTCCCATTAGACTCAGCAAGTTACCCCCTCTCTCTGTCTTGCCTGCCACATCCATAATGTGCGGATTGAAGATAGTGAGATCACTCCTGGGGTGCTTGTGAAGAGCAAGCACTCAGTATAACCTGAGATTGTTTTTATCAAGGTTAACCACAGTCGACAACTCAATTTTTCTCGTTGGGTATGAGAGGCAGCTGGCCCTGGGTCCCCCCTCAAGGAGATTATTTTATTTTATTTATTTATTTTTGAGATGGAGTTTCGCTCTTATCGCCCAGGCTGGAGTGCAATGGCATGACCTCAGCTCACTGCAGCCTCTGCCTCCCAGGTTCAAGCGATCCTCTGCCTCAGCCTCCCGAGTAGCTGGGACTACAGGCATGCGCCATTAAGCCCAGCTAATTTTTTTGTATTTTTAGTAGAGATGGGGTTTCATCATTTTGGCCAGGCTAGTCTTGAACTTCTGACCTCAGGATCCACTCGTCTCAGCCTCCCAAAGTCCTGGGATTACAGGCGTGAGCCACCACGCCCGGCCATTTTATTTTATTTTCAAGACAGGGCCTTGCTCTGTTGCCCAGGCTGGAGAGCAGTGGTGCAATCGTGGCTCACTGTAGTCTCGAGCTCCTGGGCTCAAGTGATATTCCCACCTCAGCCTCCTGAGTAGCTGAAATTACAGGGGTGCGCCACCACACCAGGCTAATGTTTGTATTTTTTATAGAGAGGAGGTTTCCCCATGTTGCCCATGCTGGTTTCGAACTCCTGGGCTTAAGTGATCCTCCCACTCTGGCCTCCCAAAGTACTGGGATTACATGTGTGAGCCACTGCACCCAGCCAAGGAGATTCTTAACGTGGGCATTTTTCTTTCTTTTTCTAAATTAGAGATGGGGGTCTCACTATGCTGTCCAAGCTGGTCTCAAGTGATCCTCCTTGACTCCTGGGCTCAAGTGATCCTCCTGTCTTGGCCTCCCAAAGTGCTCAGGTTATAGGCGTGAGCCACGACACCCAACCAACACAGGCATTTTTCAAGGGCACTTTGGGTCCCTGCCAAGGTCACCTGCCATCCACAGGATGATGATGGTCAGGGCATTGTTCCTCATGCAAGGCTGGCACTGAGGTGCCCTCTTGACCTCCTGATGTCTCTGGTAATGGTCACTGACTGCTCTGTTGAGCTGTGGTTTCAGGGCACCCCCAGGGCAGCCCACTTCCCACCCTGGAGTCCCCGAGAGGCCTGCGCAGCCTCTGGCCCACAGTTGATGACTGTGGGCAGGGTCAGGAATGAGCTGCCTGGGCTCCCGTTCCCGCTGTGCCCAGTCACAAGTTCTGAGACTTGGGCATGTCCCTGTACCTCTCCTGGAACCTCCTGTGTAGTGTAAAAATGATAGGAGCACACAGTTCCAGGGATGTCGTGAATGAATTACACGAGTTAATGTCAAAGGCTCTGGGTGCGGGATGCATCACACATAGTAACTCATGGCATTGTTATGATTCATTTAATTTTACAAGAATTCGGATAACAGAAAGCATTCAGTTGCAGCAGAACAGCCAAGCTCGTCCCGCCCGTCCCCTCCCACACACTTGGAGGCTCCTGTCGTGGCAATGTGTCCAGATGGTCAGGGAACTGCCTGGAAAGGCATTTTCAAAGTGGACAGACTTCCCTGATTTGTAGGTGGACGAGGAGGGTCGATCATGGAGGAGAAACCCTTCCCCGCTCCCGAAGGTCTTCCTGAGGCCCTGCCATGGCCATGCAAGTCTGGTTGAGGGTCTGCAAGATTACAAACAAAAATGATTGCTGGGGAGCCTGTGAGAAGCTGAATCCCAGGCAACATCCAGGGCCAGGACTAAGGTGGCCTCGGTCTTGGGGTGGGCTCAGGACGGCTGAGACAAGGGGGCAGCCAGCTCCGGGACAAGCCCTGCCCCTTCCCTCCCTCCAAGGGGTGGCTCAGGACTCAGTGCCCAGTGAGTCAGTGGGGGCTAGTGATTTGTAGGGGTGGGAGTCAGGGCCCGATGCTCCCCACCCACCACCCAGTACTGCTTTAAGGGGGAGCCCAGCCCCCCACTTGTGAGAGCAGGGCAATACCAAGAGGTGGGAAAGGAAGGCACACAGGGACAGCGCCGCAGTCGAAGGCTGACTTCTAGGCTAAATCTTCTTCCACTTCTTCACTCTTTCCTTCCCCCGCTGCTTCCTCTCCCTCCTCCACTGCCTGGTCTTCCTCTGGACTTGGTTGCTGCTGCAGGGGAAAGACAGCACAGAAGTGTTGGTGTTGGTGGGGGGCAGGCCTTCCCCACTCCCCTGGGATGTGAACCCCACGAGGCCCAAAGCAGCCAAATGGCTGAAGCCTGGGTCGTTGAGCACTCTGGAACCTGTGGTGCCAGCTCTGTGGCTGGCGAGGGTCCAGCCAGTACAGAAGATGGGCAGAACTGGGGGAATCTGGCAGACTTGTGTACATGCCTGGCTTCTGCCATATGCAGACTGGGAGGTCTCGGGCTAGCTCCTCCGAGTCTCCTTGGCTCCCTCACCCATAGAGAGGACGCGACACCTTGCAGGACTGTGGCCAGGATTAGAAATAGTGGGCATAGGCCGGGCGCGGTGGCTCAAGCCTGTAATCCCAGCACTTTGGGAGCCGAGACGGCGATCAGGTCAGGAGATGAGACATCCGGCTAACACGGAACCCGTCTCTAAAAAAAAAAATACAAAAATAGCCGGCGAGGTGGGGCGTGGTCCAGTACTCGGGGGGGCGGGATGGGGGGGGGGGGGGAGCTGAGATCGGCACTGCATCAGCTGGGCGACAGAGCAAGACCCGTCAAAAAAAAAAAAAAAAAAAAAAAAAAAAAGGGAAAGACCAGCTATGTAAAATGGCTTCAGGCCGGGCACGGTGGCTCAAGCCTGTAATCCCAGCACTTTGGGGGCCGAGACAGGCGGATCACGAGGTCAGGAGATCGAGACTATCCTGGCTAACACGGTGAAACCCCGTCTCTACTAAAAAATACAAAAAAATTAGCCAGGCGCGGTGGTGGGCGCCTGTAGTCCCAGCTACTCGGGAGGCTGAGGCAGGAGAATGGCGTAAACCCGGGAGGCAGAGCTTGCAGTGAGCTAAGATCCGGCCACTGCACTCCAGTCTGGGCGACAGAGCAAGACTCTGTCTCAAAAAAAACAAAAAAAACAAAAACAACAACAAAAAAACGGCTTCAGTACCACACGGTACTTTATGACCACCAGTGTTTTGGGCCAACTGCAGACTAAGAGAGAGACAGGAAGTGTGTGGCAGGCAGGAAGAGGAAGGGGCCAAGTTCTGTGAACCTGAACCCCTTCCAAGGCTCAACTTCTTCATGTAGAATGTTCAAGCCATGGTGAGAAGCACCTTTTGGGACTTATGTCACAAAGCATGGTGCCTGCCAGCCACCATTGCATTGTAAAAGGTGGCCAGTGTCATCTTTGCTTTCCACAGGGCTGGATAGGCCAGGAGTGGTGAGTGGGAGGAGCCCTGGACAAGGCATCAGAATCCAGGATTCTAGTTTTGCCTCCACCAGAAGTGGAGGGAGCTCTCTGCCCCACCTGTATTACCCAGTGTGAGAAGAAAACATATCATAACCAAGTACCCTCAAATGCAAAATGCACCTGTGGAAATCACAACTTTAGACCAAGGGGGAGGGAGGCAGAAGAGGAAAGAAGTCACAAGGTGGAACCAATTATCTTCTCTGTGTGCTCATGTGCCATCCTTCGCTCTGTCCACTCTATCAGGGGCCAAGAACTTGCCATACAGCTCTTCTTGCAAGCAGGCGTCATGGGTGGGTGCTCTGTGCAAATACACTGGACCCTATCTCAGTAGGGCCCACACTTGGTTTAATGCTCTAGTGTCACCATTTTAAAATTCTTAGTACTTTTTAAATGGGGGCCCTCACATTTTCATTTTGCAGTGCCCCCAATCCCCAAGTCTGCAGCCAGTCTTGCCTATAAGGGTAAATCCTGGCATATACCCACTGTTTCTTTTCCTTTCCATGCTGCTCTTTGGTTCTTTCATACCTTGGCATCTTATCTGTGGTGCCTAAAGGAGGTGACCCAGACAGACAATGTCTTTTCTTCCTCTCTCTGCTGGTACAAAAGAGGGCCTGGAAGGTGACTAGACACCATCTTTATAGCAACATCTCCTCATTTTGCAGATGGAAATGAAGGAAGCAAGAAGTGAAGTGACCAGCTCACGTGATACAGCTAGAAAGTGCTTTAGAGCTGGGGCCATGGGCAGATGAGCTGACCACAGGTCACACTCCTGACACCAAATCTGGGTAAGCCAGCATGATGTGCACACCGCTAATGTCACAGCCCTTCCCTCCAGGGGTCTCAAGGTCCATTCCTCTCTGACAGCTCACTTACCTCTAGGACCCTTGTTCAGTCACTCAACACACATGTTCCCTCGTTCAGTCACTCAACACGCATGTTCAAGATGTGCCCTCTCTGGGAGGAAGGGAGGGAGGATACCAGGAGGCATGGAGTATGGTTCCTGCCTGTTGGGAGCCTGAAGTCTGTTTGGAGACTTAAGATTCTTTGGAAGGAAAGGAATGATTCTTCCCATTCGCCAGGTGAATAAATTAAGGTCCAGCAGGTAAGGCTACTTGCTCGAGGTCACCCAGGAAGTCAGCAAGCAGAAGCAGAACCCAAGTGCCATGTCTCCCACCCAGTCCCCAACCCACCCAACCCCTGTCCAGGCCCCTACAGGCATTGGCGTCAGCTTTATGGCGTCTGCCTCCTTCTTCTTCAGCTCTGCGAAGATGATGTCGAAGAACTCCTCCTCAGCCCTGCTGACCAGCACCTCCAGGTCTATGTCCAGATCCTCGTCCGTCTGCTCCTCGTCCCTGCCCTCCGCCTTGCCCTTCTCCTTCAGCCGCATCTCCCGGTGCCTGGCCTCCAGGATCTTCTCTCGCCGGGTCTCACGCTCAAACATCTGCATACATAGGGACAGAGAGAGCCGGGTGGGGAGAGGGCGGGACGGCAAGCGACTCCAGTGCAGGGGCCAGGTGGGGCTTCTGCTGAGCCTCCTCGCTCTCCATACAGTCCCTGTACTGTAGAGGTCTGTATCCAGGGCTGGTGTCAAGGAAGGAGGGCTGAATATTGGGGTTGGAAGGCTGCAGCAGGGACGCTGAGTTATTCAATGCCAAGGAGCGTGGAGTTGCAGGACCACAGACGGAAGAGCACCCTTTGGGGCTATGAAATATGGCAGACTTGGCCCAACAAGGACCAGCTCAATAGTGAGATCCCAGTCTCAGGCAGAGCCAGGAGGCTCTCCCAGCCTCAGCACAGGGGTTTTCCTTTTTTGTTTTGTTTTGCTTTGTTTTTGGGAGGGAGTTTCACTCTTGTTGCCCATGCTGGAGTGCAATGGCGTGATCTCGGCTCACTGCAACCTCCGCCTCCTGGGTTCAAGCAATTCTTCTGCATCAGCCTCCAGAGTAGCTGGGATTACAGGCATGCGCCACCACACCCAGCTAATTTTGTATTTTCAGTAGAGACGAGGTTTCTCCATGTTGGTCAGGCTGGTCTCGAACTCCCGACCTCAGGTGATCCGCCCACCTCGGCCTCCCAAAGTGCCGGGATTACAGGCATGAGCCACGGTACCTGGCCCCAGCACTAGGGGTTTTCAATTCCACAGTGTTCCCCATGGTTCTGGGGAGTTGCCTACAGGGCTGCTCACTGGGGAAAGGATGTAGGAATGGATCTCAGTCCCCTTCTTCAAGCCCCCTTCCATCTGGCTTCTCTATTGGCATTCTACTAAGCCTTCAGGCCAGGCGCAGTGGCTCACACCTGTAATCCCAGCAGTTTAGGAGGCTGAGGTGGGAAAATTGCTTGAGCCCTGGAGTTTGAGAAGAGCCCGGGCAACATAGGGAGACCCTGTCTCTACAAAAATTAAAAAATGAGCCAGGCATGGTGGTACATGCCTGTGGTCCCAGCTACTAGGTAGGCTGAGGCGGGAGGACCAATTCAGCCTGGGGGGTGGAGGCTTGAGTGGGCCATGATTGTGCCACTGCACTCCAGCCTGGGCAACAAAGCAAGACCCTGTCTCAAAATAAAATAAAATAAAATAAATAGATACAATAAAAGTAAAATAAAATAAAATAATTAGGTCAGCCACGGTGGCTAATGCCTGTAATCCCAGCAAAATTTTGGAGGCCAAGGTGGTCAGATCATCTTGAGGCCAGGAGTTCAAGAACAGCCTGGCCAACATGGTGAGACCCTGTCTCTACTAAAAACACAAAAATTAGCTGGGAGTGGTGGTGTGCACCTGTGATCCCAGCTACTCAGGAGGCAGAGGCAGAGGAATCCCTTGAACCTGAGAAGCAGAGATTGCAGTGAGCCGAGATCTCACCATTGCACTACAGCCTGGGCAACAGAGCATGACTTCGTCTCAAAAATAAATAAATAAAAATAATTAAATTAAATTAAAATACAATATAATACAATAAAATACTAAGCCTTCATTTGAAAGGTTCTGTCAAAAAAAAAAAAAAAAAAGGGTTATTTGAAACTAGACAAACTGACCAAGTCAAACCTCTTTGATTTACAGGTAAAAAAACTGAATCCTGGAGAGTGAAGTGACTAACTGAAGCCCACTTAGCTGCCCAGCAGTTGAGCAAGGGCAAATGGACATGCCAACACCTATTTATGGAGCCCATGTCAGCATACTGCACTGCCTCCCCAGAAATGTGCACCCATGTCCTAGGGGGTGGGAGGGAGGGGCCATCTATTTTTCTGACCAGCCTGCTTTGTGGTGGGGCCAGGTCGGGACGTGCTGGAGGGGTTCTCCCCAGGCATGCGGTGCTTACAGAAGAGGCTATGTTCTTCTCATTCCTCTGGAGGGTAGAGAGCCCAGGCGAGACCTCCAGCAGGGTGGTTGTCCCCAGCTGGGATCCGCAGGCGATGAAACACCCATTGTCCTGCACTCGGAGGCAGAAGAGGGCCTCGTCACACACCTGTTGAAGGGGACGGGCAGACCCAGGTAGAGGAGAGAGAAGCAAAGTTACATGTGTCTGATTAATTGGCCCCTGGGGAGGCTCAGCCACTTGGCTCTGTTCAAACACCCTCAGGGACGCTTCTGCCCCACAGGATGAAGTTCAAACTCGGAGACTGGCTGTCAAGGTCCCTGGCTTCCCTGCCTCATCTCCCGCCCCACCCCTTCACTTCTGCCTTACGGTCACCCTGTGGTTCCCTAACGCCCCCACCCTTTCATGGCCCCAGCCAGCAGGGCTCCGCTCTGGCCGCCCTGACATGAAGGGGAAGGTCCAGCAGCCAACCACCAGGGGCTCTGAAGGAATCAGCCTGTGGGCAGGAGATGCCAGGTACCTGCTTTTGTTTCTTTTTAAATTTCCCCCAGGTGGTTTTGTTGTGCCACCGGGGTGCCAAGTCCCCCAGGCCCCTTAACCTTTGTAGGAGCACGCACTCCAAAGCAATCTCTGCAGTCAGCCTGCACACGGCTCCTCCACAGAGGCCCAAACGCACCTGGCCACACACTGCACACGTGCTCACAGTACCCCACACTCACACCCACGCCGGAGCCTGGCTCCCTGAGGACCGGGATGCACGGGGAGGGATATGCGCGTGACCTTCAGGCTGAGGGCGGGGTCGCACTGCTTGAACACAAAGTCCCAGATGTCCAGGGTTCCGTCCATCTTGGTGGTAAAGAAAACGGCCGGCCTTATGGGGCTCCAGGCGGCATCAGTGAGGTAAGCCATGTGGTACCTGTGGGAGGTAGCCCACATCACGGTTGGAGGGACAGAGGCTTCTGAGCCACAGCTCGGCTCATTTGGTCCCTTCTGGGCTCCAGGGTATCAGAGTCTTGCTAGGCGGGAAGTTCTTCCTTGTGTCTGACTTCTAGCTGTGCTGACCTCACTCACCCACAGCTCACAGGTTGCCTTTTTTTTTTTTTTGAGACAGAGTCTTGCTCTGTTGCTCAGGCTGGAGGGCAGTGGTGCGATCTCGGCTCACTGCAACCTCCGCCTCCTGGGTTCAAGCCATTCTCCCGTCTCAGCCTCCTGAGTAACTGGGATTACAGGTGCCCGTCACCACACCCAGCTAATTTTTTTATTTTTACGAGAGATGGGGGTTTCACCATGTTGGCCACGCTGGTCTCGAACTCCTGACCTCAGGTGTCTGACAGGCTGCTCTTTAAAGCGTTCTGGGCTGGTCATGTGCAGTGGCTCATGCCTGTAATCCCAGCACTTTGGGAGGCCAAGGCAGGAAGATCGCTTGAAGACAGGATTTTGAGACCAGCCTGGGCAACATGGTAAGACCCTGTCCCTACAAAAAATAAAAAAATTAGCCGGGTGTGGTGGCAAGCACCTGTGGTCCCAGCTCCTCGGGAGGCTGAAATGGGAGAATCGCTTGAGCCCAGGAAGTCGCGGCTGCAGTGAGCCATGTTTCTGCTGCTGTACTCCAGCCTGGGCAACAAAGTGAGACCCCATCTCAAATAAAATAAATAAAGGGCTCTGAGCACAGTCCTTCCTGTGGGCTGGCCACTGGCATTTCTCTGCTGCTAACTCCAGGCTGCAGGCACGTGTCGCTGTACCTGGTCCCAGCCCTGGGACTCATGGATAGGAGTCAGAGGAAGGACATACCCAGAAAAGCTGTTACTACTGAGATGAGGAGAGTGGCATTTCCTACTTTGTTTCATGTGGATTTTCAAGAATTTCTTCAGTGAAAATTGAACATTTTTTTAAAAAGAGACACACACACGTGCACACACAGTGGAGCCTTCAGATTTCCACCCAGACCTCTTCTCCCTTCCTGCATTGCAATATAGTTGTAGCTGGGCCCCTGGTGGGCAAGGCAGAGACTACATTTCCCAGTCACCTTTGCAGCTGTGTGTTGACCAGTAGGCCACAGTGGGAGAAATGATCAAGACGAAAGAAAGGATCTGGGCTGGGCGCGGTGGCTCATGCCTGTAATCCCAGCACTTTGGAAGGTTGAGGACAGTGGATCACCTGAGGTCAGGAGTTCGAGATCAGCCTGGCCAACATGGTGGAACCCCACTTCTACTGAAAATACAAAAATTATCCAGGGGTGGTGGTGGGGGCCTGTGATCCCAGACACTCAGGAGGCTGAGGCAGGAGAATTGCTTGAACCCAGGAGGTGAAGGCTGCAGTGAGCCAAGATCGTGCCACTGCTCTCCAGCCTGGGCAACAAAGATACTTCACTTAAAAAAAAACAACAAAAAAAAACACTGGAGATTTTTGGACAAACAATGAATAAGTTTTAGTATAAGTATATACCAAATATTGCATGGGACATACTTATACTAAAAAAAAAATTAGTTTTTTTTTTTTTTTAATTCAGATTTAACTGACAACTATTCTTTTTTTTTTTTTTTTTTTGAGATGGAGTCTCACTCTGTCACCCAAGCTGGAGTGCAGTGGTGTGATCTCGGCTGGTCTTGAACTCTTGACCTCAGGTGATCCACCCGCCTCGGCCTCCCAAAGTGCTGGGATTACAGGCATGAGCCATCCTTCCCAGCCCTCTTTTTTTTTTTTTTTTTTTTTTTAAAGACTGAGTCTCACTCTGTCCCCCAGGCTGGAGTGCAGTGGCATGATCTCAGTTCACTGCAACCTCCAATTCCTAGGTTCAAGCGATTCTCCTGCCTCAGCCTCCTAAGTATCTGGGATTACAGGCATGCACCACCAAGCCCGGCTAAATTTTTGTATTTTTATTAGAAACGGGGTTTCGCCATATTGGCCAGGCTCATCTTGAACTCCTGACCTCAAGTGATCCTCCCGCTTCAGCCTCCCAAAGTGCTGGGATTACAGGCATGAACCCACCGCACCCGGCCCAATGCCAAATATTCTTATTTGTCTAACCCTATGCAGGAGGAGGACAAGGGAGACCCAGGTTCTAGGACACAGGTCCATCAAGTCCCTCTAGGAACCAGCCCTGTGAAAGGCCTAAGGGTGCTGTGCTTGACACCCTGCCCTCCCTGTTCCTTTCACACAGCCCTGGCAGCCTGCAGGACCTGACGACATTGGCAAGGCTCCTATAGCCTGTGAAGGGCTTCATGTCTACTGGGAACCCCCTACTTGCTATGAGGCCTGGAACTGTGGGGAAAAGAAAGAGAGATCAGACTGTTACTGTGTCTATGTAGAAAGAAGTAGACATAAGAGACTCCATTCTGTTCTGTATTTGAGATGCTGTTAATCTCTGACCCTACCCCCAACTTTGTCCTTGCAAGAGACATGTGCTGTGGTGACTCAAGGTTTAAAGGATTTGGGGCTGTGCAGGGTGTGCTTTGTTAAACAAGTGCCTGAAGGCAGTATGCTTGTGAAAAGTCATCACCATTCTCTTAATCTCAAGTACTCAGGGACACATACACTGCCAAAGGTCGCAGGGACCTCTGCCTAGGAAAGCTAGGTGTTGTCCAAGGTTTCTCCCCATGTGATAGTCTGAAATATGGCCTCATGGGAAGGGAAAGACCTAATCGTCCCCCAGCCTGACACCCATGAAGGATCTGTGCTGAGGAGGACTAGTATAAGAAGAAAGAAGGCCTCTTGGCAGTTGAGATAGAGAAAAGCATCTGTCTCCTGCCCATCCCTGGGCAATGGAACATCTCCGCATAAAACCCGATTTTATGTTCTATTTACTGAGATGGGAGAAAACCGCCTTAGGGCGAAAGGTGGGACTTGCTAGCAATGCTGCTCTTTATGCACTAAAAAGGTTTATGGAGATGTTTGCATATGCATATCAAGGCACAGCACTTTTCCTTAAACTTATGTCACAGAAATCTTTATTCATATGTCTTACTGCTGACCTTCTCCCTACGATGATCCTATCATCCTGCCACTTCCCTTTTTCTAAGACAGTAAAGATAACGACCAATAAATACTGAGGGAACTCAGAGACCGGTGCCGGAGTGGGTCCTCTGTATGCTGAACACTGGTCCCCTGGGCCCACTTTTTCTTTCTCTATACTTTGTCTCTGTGTCTCATTTCTTTTCTCAAGTCTCTCGTTCCACCTGACGAGAAACGCCCACAGGTGTGGAGGGGCAGGCCACCCCTTCAGGAACAATGGGCTGCCCTTCTCAGCCAGCGTTCCTACCCCTGTAGAATGACATCGAACCAGGTTTCTGCTCCCAAAGCAAGGACTGGCTGAGTCACAAGCCCCAGGGAGCTCCTTAACAAGCCCATTCCTAGGCTAAGCCTAAGATTCTGTTAGTACCCCCAGGGTTGGGGCTGGGAATCTGGATTTTAAAAAAATCACTCCTCAGCCAGGCACGGTGGCTCATGCCTGTAATCCCAGCACTTTGGGAGGCCGAGGCAGATGGATCACCTGAGGTCAGGAGTTTGAGACCAGCCTGGCCAACATGGTGAAACTCTGTCTCTACTAAAAATACAAAAATTAGCTGGGCGTGCTGGCGTGCACCTGTAGTCCCAGCTACAGGGGAAGATGAGGCAGGAGAATCGCTTGAACTCGGGAGGCGGAGGTTGCAGTGAGCCATGATCGTGCCATTGCACTCCAGCCTGGGGGACACAGCTAGACTCCGTCTCAAAAACAAACAAACAAACAAAAACTCCTCCCAGGAGATTCTGATGCAAACAGATGTGGGAAGCAGAGGAACCAAAGATGCTCATTAGGGTTGATGGTGGCACTGACGTTACAGGAGTCTGTGGCTCTGTGGGCAGGAAAGGAGCCGCAGGATGTTTTTTTTTTAGCAAGAGAAAAAAGGAATTTATTTATACATCAATGCACAATACCCACGGGAGCGCCCAGCAGTGAGTGACTCAAGGGGGTGGTTAGAATTCGGGCTTATTACCTAACTTAGGAGATGAAGAGGAGGAGGAGAAAGGGCACTTTTAGGCAAGGTACATGGGCCCTAAGAAAAACGGAGGGGGATGTGATAGTCCAAGCTTCTCTGATCTAACCGTTGTGCTCACAGCTATCACAGGCTCCTTGTCTGTTGCTCCCCTCAGAGGAGTGGGCACTGAGCAAGACAGGCTATGCCGCATTGCTGAATCGTACCAAGGCACCCACATTTCCCAGCCAAGCTTCCTGGGTTCACACCCCAGCTTGGCTCCTCACTAGCTGGGAGAGCAGGAGCGAGTGGCTTGGCCTTTCTGTAGCCCATTTCCCTGACGTGAAAAATGAGATGAGGAGAAGAGCAATGCTGCCTCCTCCTAGGCGTATTTTGAGGATTATGAAAATTAAGCCAGCCAGGCGCAGTGGCTTACGCCTGTAATCACAACACTTTGGGAGGCCAAGGTGGGCAGATCACCTGAGGTCAGGAGTTCAAGACCTGCCTGGCCAATGTGGTAAAACCCCATCTCGACTAAAAATACAAAAATTAGCTGGGCATGGTGGCAGGTGCTTGTAGTCTCAGCTACTCGGGAAGCTGAGGCAGGAGGGTCACTTGAACCTGGGAGGTGGAGGTTGCAGTGAGCCGAGATCACGCCACTGCATTCAGTCTGGGGAATTAAGTAAGACTATGTCTAAAAAAAAAAAAAAAAAAAAGGAAAGAAAATTAAGCCATGGCCATTATTTTGAGCAGCTGGGTGGTTTGAAGCCTGTCGCTTTGTGGAGTGGCTGGAGCAAGTCACTTGCTAACACGAGTTCGGGTGTTTGTGGAAGGCTTTTTTCTCCATTTTATGTATGGAGGCTCAGGACTCTCCTGGGCCCAGCTGGGCTCCCTCCATCCCCTCCTGTCCTCTGCATCCCCTCCCGTCCCCAGCATTGCCTCTTACTTGGTCCACATGATGGACGATTCCCGGCTGTCTTCAGACCAGATGCGGGCTGTCCAGTCACCAACTGTCAGGAAGTTCTTCGGGTAGAAGGGGTTCCTCTGGAGGGCGTAGACGGGGCCATGATGGCCCGGGAAGGTGCACACAATCTTCTCAGCTGACGTCTTGGCCTTGCGGTTGCAGGAGATGATGATGCCCTGCTCAGTCCCCACCATGAACTTGGTGGGCTGTGGAAGGAATGACACGGGAGGGGAAGGCTCCATGAACCGTCAACTCGGATTAGCGGGCATGGACAGGAGCCTGCTTGGGGGGTCTGCAGGCCCTAGAAAGGCCCTCAGATCAAGCCTCGGCAAGGGCTGTGGCCCCTCCTGGAGAGCTGTCCCCACTCTTCCCGGGCTCCTCAGACCCCACCTTTCTGGAAGTTGCTCAAGGAGCCTGTGCTGAATGAAGTCCTCCCTGGCTCCTCCAGTCCTGGAGGGTCACCACTAGCCCCTTCTGCAGAGCATCACTGTGTCCTCGAAGCATTTGGCCATCAAGATCCTGAATGTTTGTTTACAGAGGGAGTAAAGCAGACCCAGGGAGGGGAGCCAGGGTGGTCCACCCAGATCACTCACAGGATAGGCAGAGCCTTCCCTGGCAGGACAGTGACATTTGTCGTAGCATTGTCCAGGCTGGTGTCCCTGAGAACTCAGAGCGGGTGACCAACCAGCACTCAGGAAGCCACCTGGCAGTCAGTGATGTAATTCGTCCCCCTACTGCTGGTGGGTGAGCTCTTTGAGGGGCGCAAGCTTGTCTGACATAGGTCCATTGCCCACGAACTAAGCTTTAGTAGTTACTCACTTTACTGCGGACTGAATGCACAAAGGCCAGTCTCCTGACTCCTGACCCAGTGCTCCCTCTGCGTCTCTGAGCATGACCCCCTCCGTCATGCAATGCCCTGCCTTGTTGACTGTTCCATGTCTTCACTTCTGGGCTAGACTGGACAACCTCCACCAGCAGGGCCTGAGCCTACAATGGCGCTGTGTCCTCAGCATTCCAAATGGAAAGAACAGCTGAGTTAGGCAGGGGAGGGGCATGCTGAGGGGAGGGACTTTGTCAACGGGCTCAGATGTCCTCTGCCGGTGGTGAACCTGCCCCTGTAGAGCTCCCAGGTTTTAGGAGGAGGTTGCAGTGAGCCAAGATCATGCCACTGCACTCCAGCCTGACCTACAGAGCAAGACTCCACCTCAAAAAAAAAAAAAAAAAAAAAAAAAAAAAAGAAGAAGAAAGAAAGAAAAAAGAAAAAAATGAAAAAGAACTCCTAGTTTATTTATTTATTAAGACAGGATCTGGCTCCATTGCCCAGGCTGGAGTGCAGTGGTACGATCTCGGCTCACTGCATCCTTGACCTTCTGGGCTCAAGCAATCCTCCCACCTCAGCCTCCCACGTAGCTGGGACCACAAGCACACACCACCAGGGTCAGCTAATTTTTGTATTTTTTGTAGAGACAGAGTCTCCCTATGTTGTCCAGACTGGTCTCAAACTCCTAAGCTCAAGAGATCTGCACACCCCAGCTTCCCAAAGTGCTGGGATTACAGAGCTGAGCCACTGCACCTGGCGTCCCCCCCAGGTTTTTTATTTTTATTTTTTAAAAAATGTATTGTTTTAGTGTGCATTTTCTTCTACCAGAAAATTACTAAAATGATAAACATAAAATCTCTAGAAAATACCCAGAATATGGCCAGGTGTGGTGGCTGAGGCATGAAAATCACTTGAACCCGGGAGGCAGAGGTTGCAGTGAGCCAAGATCATGTCACTGCACTCCAGCCTGGGCAACAGAGTGAGACTCTGTCTCAAAAAAAAAAAAAAGAAGAAAAAAAAAATTAGACTGGCGTGGTGGCATGCGCCTGTGGTCCCAGCTACTCAAGAGGCTGAGGCTTGAGCCCAGAAGGTAGATGTTGCAGTAAGCTGAGATCACACAACTGCACTCCAGCATGGGCAACAGAACGAAACCATGTCTCAACAAAACAAAACAAAAATCTGGGCTTCAAGTTGGGTGTCAAGGGCAAGTGAAAAGACCAAGCTTGAGAGGTCCAGAGAAGAAAGTATTCAAGCCGACTACGCGCTGCCCATCAGTGAGCCGAGGAGAAAGGCCACCCAGATCCGAGTGGCCCATCGTGCCTCTGGCCTCAGACTTTGTGGCGGGCTGCGGGTGGACACCCTGGGCCTTAGAGTTGGAACCCTGGGTTTGAGTCCCGGCTTTACCAGGTACTAGGACTCACAACGTAATCTCACGAAGACTCATCGTGTGTATCTGGCAAGTATGGATAAAAACTTTACCCCACGAAATGGTTATAGGCGATTGCACGAGCTTATGAAATCAGGCAGCCACAAGTGTTCAGCACACCGTGTGCACCCTGCAAAGGCCAGACATGGAGGAGATGGCCCTAGTTGTGATGTGGTTGTATGTCTAGCACTTGGCCTAGAAAGCCTTGCCTCTGGGACAGAATGTTCTCCTGAGTCCTTGCCACCCCAACCTCCATGCCCAGTGCCTTGTCCTCTGGGGAGGGGTCAGTGGACTTGTCTCCTCATCCCACCAACATTCATCTCTCAGCCTTGAGCTAGGGTTGCCCAGGCAGGTTCGAGGCCAGAGCCTCCCAAAGCCCTAGGAATGATGGCACATGACCCCGAAGCAAACAAGTGACACCTCCAAGGGGGAACCAGGCCTGGGCTGCACTGAGACATAAACCAAGACTCAGCCCAAGCCAAAAACCAACAACAAGGGAAAGGTATCTTCTTACTCTAGTGAGGAAGTCTTCCTTTACTGCTTCTAGAAGCTTCCCTCCTCTAACACATTTGCATTATGCTCAAACTTTGATATTTCCTGTTTTTCTTTTATTTTCTTTGTTTTTTCTGAGATGGAGTTTCACTCTTGTCGCCCAGGCTGGAGTGCAATGACACGATCTTGGCTCACCGCAACCTCCGCCTCCCAGGTTCAAGCGATTCTCCTGCCTCAGCCTCCTGAGTAGCTGGGATTACAGGCATGCACCTCCATGCCCAGCTAATTTTGTATTTTGAGTAGAGATGGGGTTTTTCCATATTGGTCAGACTGGTCTTGAACTCCCAACCTCAGTTGATCCGCCCACCTTGGCCTCTCAAAGTGCCAGGATTACAGGTGTGAGCCACCGTGCCCAGTCCTTTTTTTCTTTTCTTATTTAGGGATAGGGTCTTGCTATGTTGCCCAGGCTGGTCTTGAACTTCTGGGCTCAAGTGATCCTCCCACCTCCCAAAGTGCTGGGATTACAGGTGTGAGCCACTGTGCCTGGCCTCACATTGATACTTTTCTTCCTTTCTTTTTCTTTCTTTCCTTCCTTCTTTCCTTCCTTCCTTCCTTTTTCTTTCCTTTTTTTCCCTCTCTCTCCCTCTCTTTCTTGCTTTCTTTTTTGGTAAAGATTTGGGGGGGTCTTACTGGCCTCCCAAAGTGCTGGGATTACAGACGTGAGCCACCCTGCCCAGCCTGAACTTTGATATTTCTTTGTCATTCTTTCTCAGTTACTGAACACCAAGACCATGCATGTGCTCTGGTTTTCCAAGGAGCCTGGTCTGACCTCATTTCCCCAGAGGAAGGCAGGTGACCAGCCTAGGGCCCCAATGCCAGGCAGAGCCAGGGCCTGGGTTGGAGTCCAGGCCTCCCTATGTTGGTCCTGGGCGTGACCTTCCCCAGGAAACAGGGCTTTTCTGGAATTGTCCTGTCAAAAGATTGCCCTCTGTGTTCAGCTGGGCCACGGGCCAAAAGATGGTGCCACGACAACGGTGTCCTTCTTCGAGAAGCTCTGCTGCCCCCTGCTGGAAAGTTGTTGTAAAGGCCACACACGTCTAGGATGGGGGCAGTGAGGTTGGCCTCCCTGGGCTGGTGCTGGGTTCCACAAGCACCTGATATCCTAGCAATGGCCTGTCTTTAGCCCTGGCTGCCCTGGCAATGCAAGTCAGGGAAGGGACAGCAAGGGACACTCACCAAAGTAGATTCGAACTCCAGGGAGATGGCCCCCAAGGCATTTTCCAACTGCTCCTTTTTGGTGATGTCCATGATCACAACCTCAGTGGGCTCACTCATCTTTCGGATGTCCCACCACATGACCTGGCAGGAGGTGGGACGACAGTGAGACTTCGAGGCCCTGTATTTCCCCTGGCTTTTGTCTTTTCCACCCTCACCCCACCTTCCTGGGGTCAGCCCCTGGGCCACAAAAGATGGAGCTCCCAGCAATTCGTGGGAGCAAATACACTTTGAGGATTGCTGCTCTGTCCACAGTTCCCACACCTGGCTGATCATCAGAGTCACCGACAAGCTTCATACAACCCAGATGCTGAGGCCTTGCCCTCGACCTACTGAATCAAAACCTCCAGATGCAAGGCCAAGAATCCGTGTATGCCAACACTCCCCTCAATAAGGCGATATCCAGCAATGTTAAAAATGCATGTGTGCAGCCAGGCGTGGTGGCTCACGCCTGTAATCCCAGCACTTTGGGAGGCCGAAGTGGGCGGATCACGAGGTCAGGAGATCAAGACCATCCTGTCTAACATGGTGAAACCCTGTATCTACTAAAAAAAATAATAATAATACAAAAATTAGCTGGGCGTGGTGGCGGGCGCCTGTAGTCCCAGATACTCGGGAGGCTGAGGCAGGAGAATGGCATGAACCCAGGAGGCGGAGCTTGCAGTGAGCCAAGATGGCGCCACTGTACTTCAGCCTGGGTGACAGAGCAGGACTCCATCTCAAAAAAAAAAAAAAAAAAAAAAGCATGTATGCTCTGACCTAGAAGTCCCACTGCCAGCAATGTCTGCTGTAGATGTATCCCTGCATGTGTGCAATAATCTGTGTATAAAGATGCTCTTTGCTACATTTTTTTGGGGGTAACAACAAAATATTAGAATCCATATATAAATTATGGTACACCCACAGGATGCAATTATTAACAGGCAGGGGGTGGTAGTGTATGAAACATGAAACTATCTCCAAGGTATACACAATGAAAAACATCAAGTACAGACTAGTATGTAAAGTGTGCAAAAATAAAGAGTGAAGAAGAGAGAGATGTGTTTCCTTGCATGTGCAGAGACTAGCTCCGAAGGCAGACATAGGAGAGGGAGGGAGAGGAGGAAGTGCAGGCAGAGATGAGAGGAAGGCATTTTCTTTTTTGCACTCTTTAGATTCTATTCCGAGGGCATGTATTATCACTACTCAATTTAAAAATAAAGTGCATGGCCGGGCGCGGTGGCTCATGCCTGTAATCCCAGCACTTTGGGAGGCCGAGGTGGGTGGATCACCTGAGGTCAGAGTTCAAGACCAGCCTGGTCAACATAGTGAGGCACCGTTTCTGCTAAAAATAAAAAATTAGCCAGGCATGGTGGCAGGCGTCTGTAGTCCCAGCTACTCGGGAGGCTGAGGCAGGAGAATCGCTTGAACCCAGGAGGCGGAGGTTGCAGTGAACCGAGATCGTGCCATTGCACTCCAGCCTGGGCGACAAGAGTGAAACTCTGTCTCAAAATAAAATGTGTTAAAGGAAATGTCCCCAGGGATTCTGATGGGGAACCAGGGAACAGTTACTGCCTCTCCCTTCCCTCCCCTCCCCAGTGTCTGGCTGGTGGGTACCTGCCCATCCGTGGATGCTGAGAAGCACTCGGTGCCCGTCTTCGACTGCAGCCAGATGGTGCCATACACAGGGTCTCGGTGGCTGAACTCAATGGTGGATAGCTCCGCCACCAGGCTGCCCTTTCGGGTGTCCCAGCAGGCTGGTGAGGAAGGAGATGAAGGAGTGGAGGGGGGCACAGGCTTCCTTCCCTGGGGCAGGGAGCAGGGGAGACAGGGGGACTGCTGTTTCTGGTTTGGCAGATACGTGGTGTTTTAGAATCATGGCTTGGTTCCAATCAGCCTGAGTTTCCTACCACCCCCACAGACTCTCTGGAGAGACTCCCGGAGTGCAAGCTTCATTCAGTTCCTTCAGCCCCTCCCTACCCAACACTCAGCCCTGGGAAAGCCTCTGGGGATGGCATAGGCGTAGTGGCAGGGGAACACATGAGGGTGGTCAGGGAAGGCCTCCTGGAGGAAGTGACAGGTAGCTGAGATGGAAGATAAGCCTCAAGGTGGAGGGAGCCAGGCGGGAGGAAAGCCGAGTCCCTACCGCAGGGAAGAGCACGTGGAAGGGCCCCATGTAGGTGACTCTCTCTGCTGCATTAGCTCTTTCCCTTTTATCCTTTATACCTCTGCTGCCTCTGCTGGAAAGAAACTCACAGAGGAGCTTCAGCCTTTACTGTGATCTGTTATTAGTGCTTCGCCAAGAAAGACGGGAAGGTTATCTGTCCTCTGTCCTGTTAGATTTCATTTCCATTTTCCCATGAATGCACAATGAGGGCTCACCCTGTCACTCAGAGCTGTTTCTAGGAAAGGCCGTTTTGTAAAATAACAAAAGTACTTAGTTCATAAGCTTTGACTTAGTATTTCTCCAAGTCCAAGGCATTTGCCCCTGAACTAAGCTGGCCCAGAAACATGTTTCCTTAGATAAGCCTGCTCAGCCAAGTACAGTGGCTCATGCCTGTAATCCTAGCACATTAGGAGGCTGAGGCAAAAGGATTGCTTGAGCCCAGGAATCCAATACCAGCTTGGGCAACATAGTGAGATCCCGTCTCTACAAAAATTTTAAAAACTAGCTGGGCATGGTGGCACTCGCCTGTAGTTCCCGCTACTCGGGAGGCTGAGGTGGGAGAATTGCTTGAGCCTGGGAGGTTGAGGCTGCAGTGAGCCATGATCGTGCCACTGCACTCCAGCCTGGGTGACAGAGCAAGACCCTGTCTCAAAAAATAAAAATAAGCCAGGTGTGGTGGCTCACACCTGTAATCCCAGCACTTTGGGAGGTTGAGGCAGGTGGATCACTTGACGTCAGGAGTTCAAGACCAGCCTGGCCAACATAGTGAAACCCCATCTCTACTAAAAATACAAAAAAATTAGCTGGGCATGGTGGTGGGCACTTGTAATCCCAGCTTCTCAGGAGGCTGAGGCATGAGAATCGCTCGCGCCTGGGAGGCGGAGGTTGCAGTGAGCTGAGATCACATCACTGCACTCCAGTCTGTGCAACAAAGCAAGACTGTCTCAAAAACAAAACAAAACATAAAAATAAATAAAAATAAAAGATAAGCCTGCTCTGCTTTGGCAAAGCAGTGCTCAAGGGTAGGTCCCACTGGGTCCTACATGGTCCCTAGAGGGGCCCTTCTTGGAGCAGTGGAGCGCCAGAGTCTGGGCTGGTATGAGCCGGCATGAAAAACCACGGAAAGAGGTTATGAATAATGAGTGAGGCAAGGCTCCTGAATTAATCATGGCAAAGTGGCTCCGCTTCGGTCTGTTAGAGCTCTGGCACCCAGATAATTTGGCAGGGACGTTTATGGGAGCCCAGGTCTATTCCATAATCTGAAAGCTCCCTTGAGCAGGAGACAGCAGGTCTGAGAGGGAGATCCGGGCCTCAGGAAGCAGCTGACAACAGAGTTTCGGAGGAGGAGTTTCTCAGCATCCTGGCTCCCACTCCCAAAGAAGAAGCAAAAGTATAAGAACATACAGAGGGCCAGGCGCGGTGGCTCACGTCTGTAATCCCAGCACTTTGGGAGGCCGAGGCGGGCAGATCACGAGGTCAGGAGATGGAGACCACCCTCGCTAACACGGTGAAACCCCATCTCTACTAAAAATACAAAAAATTAGCCGGGCGCAGTGGCGGGCACCTGTAGTCCCAGCTACTGGGGAGGCTGAGGCAGGAGAATGGCGTTAACCCAGGAGGCGGAGCTTGCAGTGAGCCGAGATAGCGCCACTGCACTCTAGCCTGGGTGACAGAGCAAGATTCTGTCTCAAAAAAAAAAAAAAAAAAAAAAAAAAAGAACATACAGAGGGGGAGGGGTGGGGAATGTTTTTCATGCCCAGGGTCAAGACTGGCCTGGGTGTAGTCATGGGTTGGATGTCTGATGACTCCAGGGTCAAGGGAACAGAGCAAGTAGGGACATTCAGAGCCAATCCAGTTAGGTGACTTCTGATCTCACTAGAGATTAAAAAAAGCAGTTTGGGCCGGGTTCAGTGGCTCATGCCTGTAATCCCAGCACTTTGGGAGGTCAAGGTGGGTGGGTCACTTGAGGCCAGGAGTTTGAGACCAGCCTGGCTAACATAGCAAAACTCCATTTCTATTAAAAATACAAAAATTGACCAGGCGTGTCGGCATGCACCAGCCACTGGGGAGGCTGAGGCAGGAGGATCTCTTGAACCCAGGAGGCGGAGGTTGCAGTGAGCTGAGATCGCATCACCGTAGTCTAGCCTGGGTGACAGAGCGAGATTCTGTCTCAAAAAAAAAAAAAAAAAAAAAAAAGGCTAGGCGCAGCAGTGGCTCATGCCTGTAATCCCAGCACTTTGGGAGGCAGAGGCAGGCAGATCACGAGGTCAGGGGTTTAGACCATACTGGCTAACACAGTGAAACCCCATCTCTACTAAAAAAAAATACCAAAAATTAGCTGGGCGTGGTGGCGGGCACCTGTAGTCCCAGCTATTTGGGAGGCTGAAGTAGGAGAATTGCATGAACTCAGGAGGTGGAGCTTGCGGTGAGCCAAGATCGGGCCACTGCACTCCAGCCTGGGTGACACAGCAAGACTCCATCTCAAGGAAAAAAAAAAAAAATCAGTTTTCCAGGTGTGCCATCAGCAAAATCCATGAAGTAAGGACCTCCAAAAATTCTCTCCTCCATAATAGCAGTGAGAAAACTGGCAAAAATGGTCACAATCAACTTTTTCAGAACTCTGGAAATTAGCCAGAGGCTTAGGGCAGTCGGGAGAATGTTTATTCAAGAAAAACAGTAGAATCTTGGTAAAAACAGTGGCATTTTCACTTGCCCTAGTTAAGAATGCACACTCTGCAGTTCCGTGGTAGCCTTGAAAATTCACATCCTGCACTCCAGATGAAAAACAGTAGCCTGGCGCCACAAGAGGGAGCAGAATGGGCTGGAGCTCCTTTCAAGTCTCATGCCCAAAGAACTGTCATTATCTCAGTGTCTGGTGGTTCCCTGATAAGGCTCCTCTTGCAAGGTTGGCTGTAATTGACTTGGTTCAGCCTTTGCCTGGTGTGAAAAGTCTTTTCATCAGGGTGTAATTGCAGGCAACTGACTAACTTTGCAGCTTCCTGAGGCAGTGGATAACAGTGGGGCAAGGAATAAACCGATGAAAAAGCTTAAAAGGAAAAGCTGGGCCGGGTACAGTGGCTCACGCCTGTACTTTGGAAGGCTGAGGCAGGACTGCTTGAGGCCAGGAGTTCACAACCTACCTGTTCAACATAGCAAGACCCTGTCCCTATTTCTCTCTCTCTCTCTCTCTCTCTCTCTCCTCTTTCGAGGCAAGATCTCACTAAGCTGCCCAGGCTAGTTTCAAACTCCTGAACTCAGGCGATCCTCTTGCCTCAGCCTCCCAAACTGTTAGGATTACAGACGTGAGCCACTGTGCTCAGCCTCTATTAAATTTAAACAACAACAGTAGATAAATACAAGGAAAAGCTGAAGCATGATGTGTCCACGGGGCTTTGAAAAGATCTGACGTATTCCTGGGAGTCTAGAAAGTCACAAGCATGGATAGTGCTGGGTGCACGCCCAGAGCTGTGTCATGCTCAGGAAAGCTGATAAAGCCCTAAACTCTCGTCTCTGGCTGACCTCATCTCTGCACAGACACTAAGGCAGAGTTGACAACTGCCTGGCTGAGTGTGAAGGCATGCTCACACACGCACACAGAGCCCCTTGGCAGAGAAGGGGAGATTTTTTGGTGACAAATGCTTAAGGAAATCTTTGTCCAATCATTAACTAATCACTAAGCTAAGCAGAGACTATAAGTGGTCACACGTGACAGAGAATACAGACTTTCCAGAACTAGCTAAGAAAATTCATTAATGAAACAAAGAACAACTACAACAAACAGCAACAGCACAAGCTCTGGGAGGTGTGTCAATCTGATTTGTAAAGTTGCCACATTAAATCATACAAAAAGTATAGTTTTTAATAAAAAAAAGTTATAAGACATGCCAAGAAATACAAATGTGTGGCCCAAACCCAGGAATAAAAAAGCAATAAATAGAGACTGTCCCCAAGGAGCCCAGATGTTGGACTAACTAGACAAAGGCCTCACATCAGCCGTGCTAAACATGTTCAAAGAAGTAAAGGAAGTCACATTGAAAGAACTAAAGAAAAGCCTGAGATGATATGTCACCAAATAAAAATTACAAATAGACAAAAATTATTATCATTATTATTTTTGAAGACAGAGTTTCGCTTTGTTGCCCAGCCTGGAGTGCAGGGGCACGATCTCAGCTTACTGCAACCTCCGCCTCCTGGGTTCAAGCAATTCTCTTGCCTCAGCCTCCCAAGTAGCTGAGATTGCAGCCACACTCCACCACACCTGGCTCTTTTTTTATTTTTTATTTTTTTTTGTATTTTAGTAGAGACAGGGTTTGACCATATTGCCCACGCTGGTCTTGAACTCCTGAGTTCAGGTAATCCTCCCACCTCAGCCTCCCGAAGTGCTAGGATTACAGGCACGAGCCACCACATCCGAACAAGACAGATATTATTTTTGAAAGAAAGAACAAAATAGAAATTCTGGAGTCATTAACCAAAATAAAAATATAGTAGAGAAGCTACAGGATGGCATATTTGAGCAGGCAGAAGAATCACTGAATGTGAAGATGGGCCAATTGAGATTATGTAGTCTGAGGAAGCGAAGCAAAAGAGAACAAAGAAAAACAGAGTCTAAAGACCTATGGGACACCATCAAGCATGCCAACATACACATAATGGAAGTCACAGAAGGAGAGGAGAGACAGAAAGGGTAGGAAAGAATATTTGAATAAATATGGTTGTAAATATTCCATATTTGATTTTTTTTTTTTTTTGAGACAGAGTCTTGCTCTGTCGCCCAGGCTGGAGTGCAGTGGCATGATCTAGGCTCACTGCAAGCTCCACCTCCCGGGTTCATGCCATTCTCCTGCCTCAGCCTCCCAAGTAGCTGGGACTACAGGCGCCCACCACCACACCTAGCTAATTTCTTGTATTTTTAGTAGAGATGGGGTTTCACCATGTTAGCCAGGATGGTCTTGATCTCCTGACCTCATGATCTGCCTGCCTCGGCCTCCCAAAGTGCCGGGATTACAGGCATGAGCCACCGTGCCCGGCCCATATTTGATTTGTTTTAAAAAAAGTCTACACATCCAAGAAACTCAATGAATTCCAAGTGGCATAAACTCAAAGATATCCATACCTAGAAACATCATAATCAAAGCTGAAGCCAGAGACTCTTGAAAGCAGCAAGAGAAAAATGACTCATAATATACACGGGATCACCAATAAGATCAACAGCTGAAGTTGGGTGCAGTGGCTCATGCCTGAAATCCCAGCACCTTGGGAGGCCAAGGTGGGAGAATTGCTTGAAGCCAGGAGTTTGAGACCAGCCTGGGCAACATAGCAAGACCCCATCTCTACAAAAATTAAAAAATAAAAAAGTAGTTGGGTGTGGTGACATGCACCTGTCGTCCCAGCTACTCAGGAGGCTGAGGTGGGAGGATTGCTTGAGCCCAGGGGTTTGAGGCTGCAGTGAGCTATGATCATGGCACTGCACCCCAGCTTGGGTGACAGAGTGAGACCTTGTCTCTAAAAAAAAAAAAAGAAAGAAAAGAAAAAAAAAGAAATGATAAGGGAATTAAAATGGTACACTAGAAAATATGTAACACAAAAGAAGGCAGTTATGGAGAAAGAACAAAAAGATTTAAGACATATAGAAAAAAAGCAAAATGGCGGATGTAAACTGTATCAGTAATTAAATTAATATAAATAGATTAAACTCTCCACTTAAAACCAGAGATTGACAGAATAGATTAAAAGGAAAAAAACCATGATCCGGGCTGGGCACGGTGGTGCACGCCTGTCATCCCAGCACTTTGGGAGGCCGAGGTGGGCACATCGCTTGAGGCCAGGAGTTTGAGATCAACCTGGCCAACGTGGTAAAACCTCATCTCAAAAATACAAAAATTAGCTGGGTGTGGTGGCCAGCACCTGTAATCCCAGCTACTTGGGAGGCTGAGGCAGGAGAATCACTTGAACCCAGGAGGCAGAGGTTGCAGTGAGCTGAGATCACACCACTGCACTCCAGCCTGGGTGACAGAGTGAGATTCTGTCTCAAAAAACAAACAAACAAACAAAAAATCTATGATTCATCTGTATGCCAGCTACATGTAATCTACAAGAGATATACTTTATTTATTTATTTACTTTTTATTTTTTTGGGATGGAGTCTCGCTCTGTCGCCCAGGCTGGAGTTCAGTGGCAGGATCTCGACTCACTGCAATCTCAGCCTCCCAGGTTCAAGCAATTCTCATGCCTTAGCCTCCCAAGTAGCTGGGATTACAGGTGCATGTCACCACACCTGGCTACAAGAGACATACTTTAGATTCGAGGAGGCAAACAGGTTAAAAGTAAAAGGATGGGGAAAGATATACCATGCAAACGGTAACCAAACAGAGCTGGAGTGCCTGTCTCAAAGACAGACAGACTTTGAGATGAAAAATGCTACTAGAGACAAATAAAGACATTACATACTGATAAAAGGGTTAATTCACTACGAAAACTTAAGAATTATAAATATGTGCATGTACCTAATAACACAGCCTTAACATACAGGAAGCAAAACCTGACAAAATTGAAGGAGAAATAGACAAGTCAACAATAACAATGGCAGATGTCAGTATCCTCCCTTCAATAATAGACATAGCTACTAGGTGAAAGATCAACAAGGAAATAGAAGTCCTGACCAGCACTATAGACAAGACCTCCTGGACATCTATAGAAAACTCCACCGGACAATAAGCAGAATATAGTCTTCTCGAGTGCTCATGGAACATTCTCCAGGATAGACAATATGCTAGGCCATAGAACAAGTCTCAATAAATTTTAAAAGATTGAAATCAGGCCAGGCATGGTGGTTCATCCCAGCACTTTGGGAGGCCAGCCAAGGCAGGTGGATTGCTTGAGCCCAGGAGTTTAAGACCAGCGTGGGCAGCATGATGAAACCTTGTGACTACAAAAACTACAAAAATTAGCCGAGCGTGGTGGCACACGCCTGTAGTCCCAGCTACTCGGGAGGAATGGCTTGGGCCCAGGAGGTCGAGGCTGCAATAAGCCGTGATTGCACCACTGCACTCCATCCTGGGCAACAGAGTAAAACTCCGTCTCAAAAAAAAAAAAAAAAAGAAAAAAGAAAAAGAAAAGAAAATGATTATAAGGGAATACTGTGAACAATTATATGTCAACAAACTAGACAACTTGATGAAATGGAAAAGTTCCTAGAAAGCCAGAAACTACCAAAACCAATAAAAGAAGAAACAGAAAATGTGAAGAGGATCTATAACAAGTAAAGGGACGGAATTGTAACTTTTAAGCTTCCAATAAAGAAAAGCCAGGGACCAGATGGCTTCACTGATGAGTTCTACCAAACATTTCGAGAATTAATACCGGCCAGGCATGGTGGCGCATGCTGGTAATCCCAGCACTTTGGAAGGCCAAGGAGGGAGGATCACTTGAGGTCAGGAATTCGAGACCAGTCTGGCCAACATGGTGAAACGCTAACTCTACTGAAAAAAGACAAAAATTAGCCAGGCGTGGTGACATGAGACTAATCCCAGCTACTTGGGAGGCTGAGGCAGGGGAATCACTTGAATCCGAGAGGTGGAGGCTGCAGTGAGCCGAGATCGCGCCCCTGCACTCCAGTCTGGGTGAGGCAGCAGGATTGGCTCTGACTAAGAGCCTGGGTCCCGACCAGGCGCAGTGGCTCACACCTGTAATCCCAGCGCTATGGGAGGCCCAGGTGGGTGAATCAACTGAGGTCAGGAGTGCGAGACCAGCCTGGCCAACATGGTGAAACCCCGTCTCTACTAAAAATAACAAAAAAATTAGTCAGGCGTGGTGGTGGGCACCTGTAATCTCAGTGACTCAGGAGGTTGAGGCAGGAGAATCGCTTGAACCCAGGAGGCGGAGGTTGCAGTGAGCCGAAATTGCACCACTGCACTCCAGCCTGGGCAACAGGCGTGAAATTCCATCTTAAAAACAAAAAACAAAAGACAAAAAAAGCCTGGGTCCCTCCTTACCTATCTGTCCATTGTAGCAGCCACCCAGGAGCACGTGGGAATCTTTGGGGTTGAACTCCAAGGTAACAAGTGGAGATGATGGCTTCAGAGCAAGTTCAGGCTTATTGGGGTTTTCTATAAAGCAGAAAAAAAAATATCCCATCAGGCCTGGAAAGAAAAGGACAGGATCAACAAGTTTCACCCCTTCTGCAGGTGGGTAGTGGGGACATGGTGGCAGGGGGGGAAGCCTGGGAGCCCCTCCAGTCTTTCTCCAGGCTGCACCCCCTGGTCCACCTTGGCCAGAATCTGGCATTCTTGACCTGGGGGCTTTGCTGATGGTTTTTATTTTCGGTGAACAGGATTGGGGTGTGCCTATGTGTGTGATAATTATATTTCTAGTCCAATTCCCGGGTTTGGTGTCAAACGAGGTTTTGATACTAAGGTTTTTATGTAAAGTCAGCTCTCTGCCAGTTTCTTCAAACCAGGTCTGTGGACTGCAGATAACGACGGAGTCCACCCCATGGGGCTGCTGCCAGAACTCACTGAGCTGCTGGGGTGTCGGGCGTTAGCTCTGTGCCTGGCACCTACACGTTTATTTTAATAATGCTGCCAACGAAGGGAAGCTGGAGAGCATGAAGCCACCACCACCCTCTCCCTGCCTGTGTCTTGCCAGCCCTTCTGTAGACAATGGTTTGTGCTAATAAAGGGACACGCTGCTCCTGCAGGCCATGAATTAAAGGCAAGTGTCAGGACAGACGGGACAAAGGCCCAAGTTCCATTCCACTGCCCCTGAGTCCCTTCTCAGTCTGCTGGGCACTCTTTCCATTTACTCTTTTTTTTTGTTGTTGTTGAGACAGAGTCTCACTCTGTCTGTCACCCAGGATGGAGTGCAGCGGCATGATCTCGGCTCACTGCAACCTCTGACTCCTGGGTTCAAGCGATTCTCCTGCCTCAGTCTCCCAAGTAGCTGGGATTACAGGCACCCACCACCAAGCACAGCTAATTTTTGTAATTTTAGTAGAGACGGGGTTTCATCATGTTAGCCAGGCTGGTCTTGAACTCCTGACCTCAGGTGATCCGCCCGCCTTGGCCTCCCAAAGTGCTGGGATTACAGGCATGGGCCACCGTGCCCGGCCTAATATGCTCTTTAGGAGCTAAGAATTGAGATCCCATGGGGTCAGGTCTTCATGCCTTGAACTAAGAATCTGGAATTGGAGGGGGTTTCCTGCTTCTGATTTCAGGCTCTGCCTGAAACCAGACAAGGGAGGAAGGAGAAGAGTGGCTTCCTCCTCGACTGTGGGCTCCTCCCTTGAGGTACCAACCCCGTGAGTGTCCTTGACCTCCTCCCCCTCCCTCCCACTCCTCGGCTTGTGCTGGTCCCAGCCCTCAGTCCTCCCAGGACCCTGCTGCTTCTCACCCAGGTCCCAGATGTATGAATCGCTGCTCATGCCCACAGGCGCCCGCTGAAAATCCAAGCAGGAGTATGCCACTGCCAACTTCCTGTTGCCATCAGGGTGCCAGGAGAGGTGTGTGGCAGCCCTCTTTATTTCCTGGGGGTCCCTGCAGGGGAGAGGGAAGAGAGCAAAAGGCGGAATGTGAGGATACCCAATTTCTCCTTTTTTTTTTTTTTTTTGTCAGATGGAGTCTTGCTCTGTCCCCCAGGCAGTGGCATAATCTCGGCTCCCGCAACCTCTGCCTCCTGGGTTCAAGCGATTTTCCTGCCTCAGCCTCCCGAGTAGCTGGGATTACAGGCGCCTCCCACTACACACAGCTAATTTTTGTATTTTTAGTAGAGACGGGTTTTTTTTTTTTTTTTTGAGACGGAGTCTTGCTCTGTCACCCAGGCTGGAGTGCAGTGGCCGGATCTCAGCTCACTGCAAGCTCCTCCTCTCGGGTTAACGCCATTCTCCTGCCTCAGCCTCCCGAGTAGCTGGGACTACAGGCACCCGCCACTTCGCCCGGCTAGTTTTTTGTATTTTTTAGTAGAGACGGGGTTTCACCGTATTAGCCAGGATGGTCTCGATCTCCTGACCTCATGATCCGCCCGTCTCGGCCTCCCAAAGTACTGGGATTACAGGCTTGAGCCACCGCGCCCGGCGGGACGGGGTTTTACCGTGTTTCCTAGGCTGGTCTCAAACTCCTGACCTCAGATGATCCACCCACTTCGGCCTCCCAAAGTGCTAAGATTATAGGCATGAGCCACCACGTCCGGCCCCTTGAATGATTTCTAATGCATCATCCTGCTCCGTTGGTCCATATATGAGGTCAGAGCCCAGCAGGGCTGGAGGGCAACAGGAAGGGCAGCCTCTGTCCCACTGTGCCCTCTCCTGCACACCCCTTGCTGACAGCCATTGGCCCTGCTTGCACACCATGAGTCAGCCCTGCCTCAGAAGAATTCTTTCTTGCTGTGCTGGGACTGGGCTAGGTCCTTCCCAGGCCCCTCAGTCAGCCGTGGTAGTGAAATTCCCCAGAGTTGGGATCTGAGGCAAGTCATTTCCAAAACACCTTTCACTCCTCTAGCCCTGCATCACCCAGACCCAAGGTCTGACCCCTGCCCCAGGTCCAGAGGCTTCCCCTCCACATTCCCCCGGCACCTCCCACTGCCCTATTCCAGCCTCCTGCTCATCTCCACTCATCTGAGAGGACAGCCTTGCTTTTTTCTTCATGGTCAAAACTGAGGCCACAGAGCACGGTCCTTCCCACTTCCACCCACTTTCCGCAACTCCTTCCACCAGTCTTCAAGGCCGAGGAGTCCCTCTTCCCCAGTCCTCTCCCCATCCCTGTCCCCAAGCTCTCCTTCCTATCAGCTTCTTTTTTTTCTGGAGACAGAGTCTCGCTCTGCCGGCCAGGCTGGAGTGCAGTGGCGTGATCTTGCTCACTGCAAGCTCCGCCTCCCGGGTTCATGCCATTCTCCTGCCTCAGCCTCCAAGTACTGGACTACAGCCCCCACCTCGTCCGCTAGTTTTTTTTTTTTTTTTTTTTTTTTTTTTTTTTTTTTTTTTTTTTTTTTTTTTTTGAGACGGAGTCTCGCTCTGTCGCCCAGGCTGGAGTGCAGTGGCGCGATCTCGGCTCACTGCAAGCTCCGCCTCCCGGGTTCACGCCATTCTCCTGCCTCAGCCTCCCGAGTAGCTGGGACTACAGGCACCCACAACCGCGCCCGGCTAATTTTCTGTATTTTTAGTAGAGACGGGTTTCACCGTGGTCTCGATCTCCTGACCTTGTGATCCGCCCGCCTCGGCCTCCAAAGTGCTGGATACAGCGTGACCACCGCCGCGTTTTTTGTATTTTTAGTAGAGACGGGGTTTCACCGTGTCAGCCAGGATGGTCTCGATCTCCTGACCTCGTGATCCGCCTGTCTCGGCCTCCCAAAGTGCTGGGATTACAGGCTTGAGCCACCGCGCCCGGCCTATCAGCTTCTTTTGGACACCCTACAAAGGTGCTCTGGGATGGGGTATTCAATTCCCGGGGCTGCTGCAATGAGGTCCCACAAACTGGGTGGCTTCAAATAACAGAAACTGATTATCTCACAGTTCCGGACACCAGAAGTCCAAAATCACAGATATTCTCCTCACATCAAGCATGTAAACATACATATACATATATATATACACACACATACACATATGCATATATTTATACACATATGCAGATGCTCCTTGACTAATGATGTTGGCTACATCTGATAAATCCATAGTACGTTGGAAATATCAGGAGCTGAAAATGCATTGAATACATCTAACCGACCCAGCATCACATCTTAGTTGAGCCTACATGCTCAGAACACTTATATTAGCCTAGAGCTGGGCAAAATCACCTAACACAAAGCTTATTTTATAATAAAAAGGTGAACAGCTCATGTAATTTTCTGAATACTGTACTGATGGCAAAAACCAGAATGGTTGTACGGGTACCTGAAGTACGGTTTCTACTGGATTTCTATTGCTTTTGCACCCTTGCAAAGTCAAAAAATGGTTTAAGTTGGGGACTGCCACAAAAAGTGGCACTCTGCACACCCTGTTCTGCACCAGCTTTGTTTCCATACTGAATCCTGGAAATGACTCCATATCAGCACATAAGAACTTGCACTGCTCTTTTTTTTTTTTTTTTTTTTTGAGGGAGAGTCTCGCTCCATTGCCCAGGCTGGAGTGCAGTGGTGCGATCTCGGCTCACTGCAGCCTCTGCCTCCCAGGTTCAAGTGATTCTCCTGCCTCAGCATCCTGAGTAGCTGGGATTACAGGCATGTGCCACCACACCCAGTTAATTTTTGTATTTTTAGTAGAGATGGGGTTTTGCCATATTGGCCAGGCTGGTCTCAAACTGACCTCAGGTGATGCGCCCCCAAAGTGCTGAGATTACAAGCGTGAGCCACCACGCCCAGACTGCCCCGCTCATTTTCCCAGCTGCATGGCATTCCGTCATGTGAGTGTACCAGAACTGCTAGAACCAGTCCCCTATAAATGGACTTAGCTTGTTCTAGTCTTTGGCTGGCACACATCCTCTGCAGTGAATATCCACACCTGCAGTGATTTCACACACACACACACACATGCACACCCGTGGGATGAATCCCTCGTGTCAAACTGCTATCCTCTGGGGTTATTCATGGATATACCGGCATGAGTGCAGGCCATAGCGGGGGCCTGTTCGCCCACAGTGCTGCTAGCTGCTCACGCTTTGTACTTGCACTTACTCTACACTGCAGGAACACGCTCCACTTGTACACAGATTGGCAATTTCACTTTCTCTGGAGTCTGTACTCCCTTTCCGTCAGCCAGACCCGCCCCCAGAGCCGGGCCACTTCTCTGCTGGGCACCTTATCACCGTGTGGCTTATCAAGCCCAGAGCACAGAGAGTGCTGCACCCAGGGCATGCAGCAACTGGCAAGGAGTTGCCTTTGGGGGCGCCCCTGCATGGGGGTGACCGAGGGTGGCCAGACACCTGCCTGGCTATGGTGCTACCTGAAAACATTGATGGTTTTAGCTGAAGGGGCCTCCTCCATCACTTCCACGGCCTCCTCGTCGTTGAAATACTCTTCATAGATGTCAATGGCATTGTTCTGCTTGATGCAGTGCTCCATGATCTAGAGGGGACACGTCGGAAGTTCTCAGTGGTAAGGGGAGGTCCTTTCAGATTGCCCAGGCCTGCAATGGAGTCTGGGAGGGACAGGTCATAGCCAGGGGCCTTTTCCCATCCACTTAACCATGTGCTTTCAATGGGGGAATTTTCAATTGGTTCTTGGGGGTAAAATAATATTACTTTTTATGTACAAAGCATAGAAGTACAAGCAGCGCATGAACATGTGCTATGGCATTAACATTTGATGGGCCGGGTGCGGTGGCTCACGCCTGTAATCCCAGCACTTTGGGAGGCTGAAGCGGGCGGATCACTTGAGGCCAGGAGTTTGAGACCAGCCTGGCCAACATGGTGAAACCCCACCTCTACCAAAAATACAAAAGCAAATTAGCCAGGCATAGTGGCGGGCGCCTGTAATCCCAGCTACTTGGGAGGCTGTGGCAGGAGAATTGCTTGAGCCCGGGAGGTGGAGATTGCAGTGAGCCAAGATCACGCCACTGCACTCCAGCCTGGGTGACAGAACGAGACTCTGTCTCAATAACAACAACAGCAACAAACATTTTATGGAGGTAGGAGGCCATTAGAAAAAACACGAGGGGCAATAATGAAAAAAAGGTTGAAGAACACCATGCTAGCCAAACAAAATTATTATTATTATTATTATTATTTTGAGACAGAGTCTTGCTCTGCCACCCAGGTTAGAGTGCAGGGGTGCGATCTGGGCTCACTGCAGCTTCTGTCTCTCAGGTTCAAGCAGTTCTCCTGCCTCGGCCTCCCGAGTAGCTGGGACTACAGGCATGCGCCACCACACTTGGCTAATCTTTGCATTTTTTTTTTTTTTTTTTTTTTGAGACGGAGTCTCGCTCTGTCGCCCGGGCTGGAGTGCAGTGGCCGGATCTCAGCTCCCTGCAGGCTCCGCCTCCCGGGTTTAGGCCATTCTCCTGCCTCAGCCTCCCGAGTAGCTGGGACTACAGGCGCCCGCCAACTCACCCGGCTAGTTTTTTGTATTTTTTTTAGTAGAGACGGGGTTTCACCATGTTAGCCAGGATGGTCTCGATCTCCTGACCTTGTGATCCACCCGTCTCAGCCTCCCAAAGTGCTGGGATTACAGGCTTGAGCCACTGCACCCGGCCTAATCTTTGCATTTTTAGTAGAGATGGGGTTTTGCTATGTTGGCTCAAACTCCTGAGTTCGAGTGATCTGCCTGCCTCGGCCTCCCAAAGTGCTGGGATTACAGGTGTGAGCCACCAAGCCCAGCCCAAACAAAATTATTAATCACTCACCATATATATGTATATATATAAAAGTGTGTGTGTATACATAAAATAATATATATATTTAATCACTCACCATATATATGTGTGTGTGTATATATATGTGTGTATATATATATGGCACTCATCTCCTTCTTCCTGTCCTTGCAGACAGCTGGTTCCTCCACCCAGAATGCCCTCCCCTTTATCCCTTTATCGCAAATGTCCACCAAAGGACAACCAAGCCCTGCCACTTCTTCCTGATCCCTTCAGCAGGAGATTGACCCTGCCTCCTCATGGAGTAAAAGGACAAGTCACCCTTCTCTTTCCGCATTTCTTTCTTTTTGTGTTATCTGGTGATGTCTCTGTATTTGTCTTCGACCTCCAATGGACTGCAAACTCTTTGGGACAGGATGTATAAGAGATTCTTTTTCTTTTAATTTAAATTTAAAATTTGTTTTTCCTTAAAACAATTTTTTTTTTTTTGCACTGGCAATTATGTAGAACAATTATGTGAGATTCATTTTGCAACCTCTACTGTGCCTGGCAGAGGCTTGAAGCTCAGTCCGAATGTGTCAAATGAATGAATGATCCCTATTGGCTGCTGGGTGGGGCACCTTGGGGGTCACCTTTGCCCAAGGTCAAACTCCTCCTAATGCCTGGTCAGCCCTTGTACCTGCCCGCCTTCCCTGTTGGTCTGCGATTAGGACCTCTGCCTGCTCCCAGACAGAAGGCTCCTTGAGACAGCAGCTGGTCCCCTTCCCCCAGCATCCACACGAGCCTCACAGGGAGGGCCAGGCACAGCTGGGCACTGCCCCCCTCGGGGAGCTGCAGTGCTGGATGGGGCTTTCGCAGCTGGGGCGGGAGGAAGCCTTACAGAGCCGAGCTGCATGATGGCGTTCACGTAGTTCTCATCTTTCTCCACCTTCTTCCGGAAACGGATGGTCTGCTCCAGCTCCAGGGGGTTCACGTCCTTGGGCCAGCCCCCCTCGACATGGTTAACTCCCCGGGTCTCCATCTCAAACCGCTCTGTGTTGGCCTAAACAGAGAGCCGCAGGAGGGAAGATGTCACCCTGGTATACTCCCAAACCCTCGGCCGCTTCTGCAATCCAGGTCCCATGCGGGCTCCCAGGGCTGGATGCTGAGGCGCCCTGGCCAAAGCCACAGTATTTTCAGATGCAGGCAAGGAAATTCCTGGTGCTCAGGTGGGCACAGGTAGCTGCAACAGCGCAACCCTGTGGAGCTAAGCAGCTTTGCAACTGGTAGCTGTGGTCATGAAAATCCAGTTTTGACCTTATCTGAATTCTAATGGACCAGAGAAGCCTGTCCATCTGCTCTGTGAGAATCCAAAGAAAAGGCGAATAATTGGCCAGGCACAGTGGCTCACTCCTGTAATCCCAATCCCAGCACTTTGGGAGGCCGAGGCAAGCAGATCACGAGGTCAGGAGATCAAGACCATTCTGGCTAACATGGTGAAACCCTGTCTCTACTAAAAATACAAAACATTAACCAGGCATGGTTGTGGGCACCTGTAGTCTAGCTACTCGGGAGGCTGAGGCAGGAGAATCGCTTGAACCTGGGAGGCAGAGGTTGCAGTGAGCCGAGATCATACCACTGTACTCCAGCCTGGGCGACAGAGTGAGACTCTGTCTCAAAAAAAAAAAAAAAAAGAAAGAAAGAAAAGAAAAAGTGAATAGTGAATAGTCTTTCTTCACTCTATCATTAACAATGCCACCCTATCATTGACAATGTCAGTGTCACAGAAATTGAACGTTAAAACTCCGAGTTTGGATTTGCTTTGCCTGTCCTTTGTAGCAGGGAGGACAGTTTTACACGTGGGTCTCGTCACTTTCCCTTCTTTCCTTTCTTCTTCTTCTTTTTTTTTTTTTGAGACGGAGTCTCGCTCTGTTGCCCAGGCTGGAGTGCAGTGGCATGATCTCGACTCACTACAGCTTTTTTTTGTTGTTGTTGTTGCCCAGGCTGGCATGCAATGGCGCAATCTCGGCTCACTGCAACCTTCGCCTCCCAGATTCAAGTGACTCTTCTGCTTCAGCCTCCTCAGTAGCTGGGATTACAGGTGCTCGCCATCATAGCCAGCTAATTTTTGTATTTTTAGTAGAGACGGGGTTTCACCATGTTGGCCAGGCTGGTCTCGAACTCCTGACCTCAGGTGATCCACTGGCTTCAGCCTCTGGAAGTGCTGGGATTACAGGCATGAGCCACTGCACCTGGCCAGTACAGCTTTGACTTCTCAGGCTGAAGGGATCCTCCTGCCTCAGCCTCCCAAGTAGCTGGGACTACAGGCGTGTACCACCACATGTGACTAATTTTTGTTTTTGTTTTTCTTCTGTAGAGACGGTGTTTCACCATGTTGCCCAGGCTGGTCTCAAACTCCTGAGCTGAAGTGATCCTCCCGCCTCTGCCTTCTTTTCACTTTATTTTAAAAAATTATTTATTTATTTATTTATTTTTAGAGACAGGGTCTTGCTCTGTTGCCCAAGCTGGAGTGCTGTGGTGCGATCACAACTCACTGCTGCTGTGAACTCCAGGGCTTAAGCAATCCTCCTGCCTCCACCTCCCAAGTAACTGGGACCACAGGTGTGAGCCACCACAACTGGCTAATTTAAAAAAAAAAAAAAAGTGTAGAAATGAAGTCTCACTATGTTGCCCAGGTTGGTCTCAAACTCGTGGCCTCAAGCGTCCTTTCACCTTGGTCTCCCAAAGTACTGGGATTACAGGCCTGAGCCAGCACGCCCAGCCCTTCCTATTTTTAAGAAATTGTGGCAAAATACACGTAACATAAAATGTACCACGTAACCATTTTAAAGCGTACACTGCAGCAGTGTTATCATACACAGGGCTGTGCAACCATCAACCCCGCCTCGTTCCAAAACTCTCACATCACCCAGAATGGAAACCCCATCCTCGTGAAGTCACTCCCATCTCCTTTCCTTTTTTTTTTTTTGAGACGGAGTCTCGCTCTGTCGCCCAGGCTGGAGTGCAGTGGCCGGATCTCAGCTCACTGCAAGCTCCGCCTCCCGGGTTCACGCCATTCTCCTGCCTCAGCCTTCCAAGTAGCTGGGACTACAGGCGCCCGCCACCTCGTCCGGCTAGTTTTTTGTATTTTTTTAGTAGAGACGGGGTTTCACTGTGTTAGCCAGGATGGTCTCGATCTCCCGACCTCGTGATCCGCCCGTCTCGGCCTCCCAAAGTGCTAGGATTACAGGCTTGAGCCACCGCGCCCGGCCTCCTTTCCATTTTTAAGCCAGCTCTCACAAAAGGTAAAAGTCTGGATCAGCACCATAGGAAAGGTTAAAAAAAAAAAAAGTCTGGAAAAGGCAGAGCTGCTGGAAACGACAGGAGGGCCCCCCAGGGTGTGGCCCACATGGCGGCCATTCTGCTTATTGGCTACACCACGGCCACAGGCCTTCTCATCCCCGGGACAGCAGCTGGTCCTGGGAGAGAAGCACCTACTTCATCTGAACTCTGAGTCACTGAAACCACCCACACCCACCTGACTGTTGGACGTGTTTTGGCCAAATCAAGTGATTTGGTTACCGTTTTATCTCAGCAGTTGTCGACCTAATTAGGGTGAATCACTTAGTCCATAGAAACAGGGAACTCTCTGGCTTCTGAACACATGACCACGACCCTCCAGGTAAGTTCTCTTATCATGGAGGCCCCTCTGGCCGGAACTTTCTGTGGGACACTTCCCTTTTCTCAAGCTGGGTAGTTGCCTGTAGATATGAACCTCTGCTCCCTCAGAATATCTCTCCCAGGCTGGGCACAGTGGCTCATGCCTGTATTCCCAGCACTTTGGGAGGCCAAGGCGGGAGGACTACTTGGGCCCAGGAGCTTGAGACCAGCCTGGGCAACATGGCAAAACCTCGTCTCTACAAGAATTACAAAAATTAGCCGGGCACGGTGGTGCACACCCGTAGTCCCAGTTTCCAGGGAGGCTGAGGTGGGAGGATCTATTGAATTCGGGAGGCGGAGGTTGCAGTGAGTCGAGATTGTGCCACTGCACTCCTGGAAGACAGAGTGAGACCCTGTTTAAAAATATACATATCTCCCAGCTACACCAAATATCCAAAACAACTCTGGTAAGTGTCTTCGAGGTGAAACAAGAGCTCTTGGGAGAGGGAACATTGTGATTTTCCCTCCCCTGGCTTGAGGAAGGCTGGTGCTGGGTCTTCTTCTGATCCTGGGCACTGCGTGGAACTCAGGAGGAGCCTCTAGCCTCACTTCCAGCTTCTCTACTTGGTCCACTCTAACTGGCTTTCAGGTGGACAAGGACCCCCGGAACCACTCACCTGCCCTAGCTGGCCGCCCTGCCTGGCCACACCTCACAGGCCGGGGCCCTTGGGGCAGGGACCCACCTCATGTTCCGACATGCTGACCGAACACTGGATGCCTGTGTCCACTGGGTTCCGCTCCACGAACTGCTCGGCCAGCTCAGGGTTGGGCATGATGTCGATGTTCAGCTCGGCCTGGCGGTCAGAGAAATTGCACTGCTTCCCGAACTCGCTGCGCTTCTTGACGTACACGTACACAATCTCCATGGTGCCGGCTGCTGGGGGGAAGAGGGAGGGTGTGGGTGAGGGACCCCACCGGCCCCTTTCCCATCTCCACAGGTCCCGCCGGGACAGCTCCAGGTTCTCAATCTGGTTGGGGCAGGAAGCAAGGGGTGCTAGGGAGATCCTAGGAATTTGTCCAGAAGCTGCATCTGCATTTTAAAAAATCCCGAGTGCCGACTATATGCTAAGCAGTACCCTATTTAGCTCGTGCAATTGTTCTCTGAGGAAGGCAATAAAAATCATCATTTCGGCCAAGCAAGGTGGCTCACAACTATAATCCCAGAACGTTGGGAGGCCAAGGCAGGTGGATCACCCGAGGTCAGGATTTCAAGACCAGCCTGGCCAACATGGTGAAACCCCATCTCTACAAAAATACAAAAATTAGCCGGGCATGGTGGCTCACACCTGTAATTCCAGCTACTCAGGAAGCTGAGGTGGGAGAATCACTTGAACCTGGGAGGAGAAGGTTGCAGTGAGCTGAGATTATGCCATTGCACTCCAGCCTGGGTGACAGAGCAAGACTCCATCTCAAAAAAAAAAAAAAAAAAAAAAAAATCACCATATTATTTGAGGGCGTTTGATGCTTAGATGCCCTCAGTGACTTGCCCAGGGCCCTATAGCTAATACATGCTGCAGCTGGCCTGAGCCGATTCCAAAACTCTTACCCACCAAATGATACAGTTTTTGTCTTTTGTTTTTAGGTTTTTTTCTTTTTTTTTTTTTTTTAAGACAAAGGCTCGTTCTGTCACCCAGGCTGGAGGGCAGTGGTGTGCTCACAGCTCACTGCAGCCTCAACCCCTGGGCTCAAGTGATCTCCCACCTCAGCCTCCCAAGTAGCTGGGACCACAGGTGTGCAGCACCATACCTGGCTAAGTTTTGTATTGTTTTGTAGAGATGGGGTCTCGCCATTTTGCCCAGACTGGTCTTGAACTTCTGGGCTCAAGTGATCCATCTGCCTCAGCCTCCCAAAGTGCTGGGATTATAGGTATGAGCCACTGCACCCAGCACAATACGGTTTTCACTGAATCAGTGTTTACTGACAGGCAGGAGGAAATATTGATGGTGATGACGTTGGACTAAACTCCCTGACATGCTGGGCATGAAACACATAGGACAGATTTGAGACCCCTGGGCCCCTTCTTGAACCCTTCCTCCCCAACCCAATGGCCCAACTCTCACCCAATTGTCCAAAAGGCTCATTGGTTGCCAGACTCTGGCCTCTACCACTCTCTGGGCGCCACCCTGGAAATCTCTTCCCTCCAACCAGGACAGAGCTGAGAGTTGACCTCAGACAGAGAGAAAGTCAGGGGCTTCCCCAACAGGCGGGACACGGAGGCCTTTGGGAAAGCCTCTGACATGTGCTGCTGGCCATGGGGCACAGCAGGGAATTGGGAAGTGGGCTGGGCTGTGCCCTGCCTTCAAGTTCCGGGCCTGCCGTCACCAGCTGCGTGACCTGGGCCGGGCCACTTAGTCCGTCAGAGACCTGACACACCCACAGAATGCTGAGAAGTGAAATGAAAGTGCTCCAGTGGCGTCAGAGGTGGGGTTCACAGGCCATGCGAGGAAGGGTTTCTTACTGATGCTGATTAGAAGTTGTAAAAATGCAATGGGCTGGGCCATTCCCACGTATTACCCTTGACCTTTCTGACTCCTCCATGACATCACTAGACCCCACTGGGTCTGAAGGCTTGCTCAGTGAGTTCAATGGCTGGCCCTTTGACCTGTGTGCCTGTCACATCACACCATGGAGTTAGCCAGAGATGTCCATCTGCTGGCCACCTGGGCTTTCAGAAATTGTGCCTTTGATAGCAAGTTCCCAGGGGCTCAGATTGTGGGTCTGTGCAAGGCTTCTGGGGTTGCACAGAGCCCTAGGACGAAAGATGTGGATGAGTGGCTGGTGCTGGTGTAGGGAAGATAAACTGAAGAAGAGCTTGCCTTGGTAGATTTACAACCAAAGGCCTTTCAACGCCCAAGAGATTAGGTGAGCAGGCCAGGCATTTTGGCTCATGCCTATAATCCCAGAACTTTGGGCAGCCGAGGCCAGTGGATCCCTTGAGGTCAGGAGTTCAAGAACAACCTGGCCAACATGGCAAAAACTTATCTCTACTGAAAATACAAAAATTAGCCAGGCGTGGTGGCGTGTGCCTGTAATCCCAGCTACCCAGGAGGCTGACGTAGGGGAATCGCTTAAACCCGGGAGGTGGATGTTGCAGTGAGCCGAGATTATGCCACTGCACTCCAGCCTGGATGACAGAGTGAGACTCCATCTCAAAAAAAAGATTAGGTGAGCAGGTTTGCCTGTGAGCAGGTTTTGCTATTTTTTTTTTTAATTTTTAATTTTTATGGTTACATAGTAGGTGTATATATTTATGTGACACATGAGAGGTTTTGCTATAAGCATGCAATATACAATATGCAATCATGGGAAAAGGGGTATCCAGCCACGCCTGCAAGCATTTATCCTTTGTGTTACAAACAATCCAATTATACTCTTTCAGTTATTTTTAAATGTATAATTAAATTATTTTAACTATAGTCACCGTGTTGTGCTATCAAATACTAGATATTAGTAGTCACATCGTGGAGAACGGGGTATCCATCCCCTCAAGAATTTATCCTTTGTTAGTTTTTTCTTCTTTTTCTTTTTTCTTTTTTGAGACGGAGTCTCGCTCTGTCGCCCAGGCTGGAGTGCAGTGGTGCAATCTCGGCTCACTGCAAGCTCCACCTCCCGGATTCATGCCATTCTCCTGCCTCAGCCTCCCGAGTAGCTAGACTACAGGTCCCCACAACCATGCCTGGCTAATGTTTTGTATTTTTAGTAGAGACAGGGTTTCACCGTGTTAGCCAGGATGGTCTCAATCTCCTGACCTCGTGATCCGCCCGCCTCGGCCTCCCAAAGTGTTGGGATTACAGTCGTGAGCCACCGCGACCGGCCTATTAGTTATTTTTAAATGTACAATTAAATTATTACTGACTGTAGTCACCTTTTTGTCCTATCAAATAGCAGGTCTTATTTATTCTTTCTTTTCTTTCTTTTTTTGAGACGGAATCTCATTTTGTTACCCAGGCTGGAGTGCAGTGGTGCAATCTCTGCTCACCACAATCTCTGCCTCCTGGGTTCAAGCGGGTCTCCTGCTTCAGCCTCCTGAGTAGCTGGGATTACAGCTGTGCGCCACCACGCCCGGCCAACAATGTTAACAAAAACAGAAGCCACAGACTTGGAGAAAATATTTGCAAATTATTTATCTGATAAAGAACTTGCATCTAGAATATGGAAAGACTGACCAGGTTCCCAGCACTATGAACAACAGTTTCCAGCACCACTCCTAAAACAGTGATCACAATTCTTATTAAAATTTCCTTTTATGAGACAGTGTCTTGCTCTGTCACCCAGGGTGGAGTACAGTGGCATGAACACGGCTTGCTGCAGCTTCCACCTCCCAGGTTCGAGCAATCCTCCCACCTCAGCCTTCTGAGAAAGTGGGACCACAGGCAGACACTAGCACATTGGACTAATTTTTTTTTTTTTGTATTGCCCAGGCTTTTCTCAAACTCCTGGGCTCAAGTGATCCTCCTGCCTCAGCCTCCCAAAGTGCTGGGATTACAGGCACGAGCCCATTTTCAAGATGAAGAAACTGAGGCCTGGAGAGATGAAGTATTAATACAGCGTCTAAGGTCACAGTTCTTCAGTTCAGGCAGAACCACCAGGCATGTCTGGCTCTAAAGCAGTGATCGTTAGTCCTGACTGCACATTTAGAAACACCTGGAGGGCTTTATGAAATCACAATGCTGAGTTTGAACCCCAGAAAAACTACATCAGAATCTCTCATCAGTATTTTTTTTTTTCTTTTTAATTCTCCAGGCAATTCCATGTGTAGCCAAGTTTGAGGACCACTGATTTAAAGTGAGGGACCTTAATCTCTCAACCAGCATTTCTCAAACCTGGGATCTTCCTTAAAAATATACAGACTCCCAGGCCTCTCTCTTGCAAATGCTGAACTAGATGCCTGGGGCAGGGTCTAGCATCGTGTTTTTCACAGTCACCCTAGATGAACATGATTACCAGACCTGTGTCTAACCTACCTTCTCCCGCCTCCAGGGCTACAAAGAACCAGACCAGTGGGCCCTGGCCACTGGCCCCTGAGAGGCAGGGCAGGAGCTGTGTTCCCCTAGAAGCATGTGCCAGGGGAAACTTGGACCCTGGAGGAGTGGGGCAGTAGGTGGGGAGAAGGAGGGTAGGAAGGTTAACCATTTGCATCCATATACATTGTTCCTTGAAGACAGTACCATCCCCATCCCACTCCTAGCCCCGGAGCAACTCAACCTCAACCAGACTGTTGCAGAAAGTGGTTTTTGGTTTTTTGTTTGTTTTTGAGATGGAGTCTCGCTCTGTTGTCCAGACTGAAGTGCAGTGGCCTGATCTAGGCTCACGGCAAACTCCGTCTCCCGGGTTCAAGCGATTCTCCTGCCTCAGCCTCCCATAGTTGGAATTATAGGTGCATGCCACCATTCCCGGCTGATTTTTGTATTTGTAGTAGAGACAAGGTTTCACCATGTTGGCCAGGCTGGTTTCAAACTCCTGACCTCAAGTGGTCCACCCGCCTCGGCCTCACAAAGTGCTGGGATTGCAGGCGTGAGCCACCGCGCCCAGCCTTGTTTTCTTCCCTTTCTTGTAGTTTGGAAATTCTCTTTCCTGGGTGGAAGCAATGGCTTAGAGGGCACAGGGTGGGATGAGAAGCCCAGATTGTATCAGGGGTGCCGCAATGTGTTTATCCCACGTGGACAAAGCTAGGGCCTTGTGAAAAAGCATGGGAATCCCGTGGCATCCTCTCCTTTGCCAAGGCAGTGTGAAGCCCCTGTGCCTCCCACATGGGGCTGCAGGACTCAGGCAGTTAGGGCTGCCTGTCTCTGTCTTTTCAAAGACAATTGCTGCAAGCCAGCTGGCTCCTAGGGGACACAAGGAGGCTGAAGAGAATGAGGAAACTCCAGGAAGACAGAAATAGCCTCTTTAGCCCAGATCAGACTTTTAACAGCTTTGCTTTCCTTCTTGGTGCTTCCCAAGGCCAAGTCCCGAGCGAGAACAGAAGCATTGTCTTGTGTCTGGAGGCAGACAGAGGGGACATTTAAAGACTGGCCCGGTGACGGGAAGACAACCCATTCAAGGACCCAGAGCAAGCTCTTTCTCATAAGCTGGCAGGGTACGCAGATGAATAGCGAGGTCAGCAGAGGGCGTCTCAGGAGGTCTCCCGCAACCTCTTGTGAGACAAGTGCTAGAGGGTGGGCTTCCCCAAGCAAGGCCTGAGTAGGGGTGTCTGCATGGGGGGACAGAGCGGGGACGGGAGCAGTGTCACTGCCCTCTGGGAGTTTTGGGGGAAGATCCTCCCCCCATGGGAACCTAGAGTCCCAGAGGTGTGCAGGACACCACCGTGAGTCTCAAACACAGGAACACGCAGAATCAGGGACACTGTGGTCCCGACATCAAAGATTCAGGCGTCTCCCGCATCCCCAGGGAGGCAGTCAAATGGGAACCTTCGCTGATTATAAAGACAAAACTTGTCTTGTGCAGTGCGAATGAGCAAAGTAATTCCTGGAGAGAACCTCCGGTGGCTTAAGGGAAAGTGTGTTTTCCAGGCCGGGAGGGAGGCCAAGGGAGCGATGGGGAGGAGGAGTGTCAGCGTGGGAGACTGGGAAGGAGGCAAGCTGGAAGGTCAGCCCTCCGCATTGAACTCCCTAGTGGAATAAGGAGATGAGAACATTTTCCTCTTCTTCTTGGTCCCTGACGCAGCCCCTACTGGGTTCCCGCGACTGGTGGGCCTGCATGGCACCTGGCAGGAGAGGGCTTCCTTCCCTCTTTCTTTGTTGTTGTTGTTTTTGAGACAGTCTTGCTCTGTCACCCAGGCTGGAGTGCAATGGTGTGATCTTGGCTCACTCCAACCTCTGCCTCCCAAGTTCAAGTGATTCTTGTGCCTCAGTCTCCCGAGTAGCTGAGATTACTGGTGCGTGCCATCACACCCGGCTAATTTTTTTTTTTTTTTTTTTTTTTGAGACGGAGTCTCACTCTGTCACCCAGGCTGGAGTGCAGTGGCCTGATCTCAGCTCACTGCAACCTCCGCCTCCCAGGTTGAAGCAATTCTCCTGCCTCCACCTGCCACGTAGCTGGGACTATAGGCGTAAACCACTGCACCTGGCCAGAATTTTTGTATTTTTAGTAGAGATGGTGTTTCACCATGTTGGTCAGGCTGGTCTCAAACTCCTGACCTCAAGTGATCCATCTGCCTGGGCCTCTCAAAGCACTGGGATTACAGGCGTGAAAACCGCACCCGGCTTTCCCTCCCTTTCTTATGGCCTTGTGCACTTTGTGGAATTCCAGGGTCCTGAGGGACTCACGGTACCCTCAAAAGAGGCAG